CATATTTTTTAGGTCAATTTCTGGATTCCCTATTTCTGTACCATGGATCTACATCTCTATATTTACACCATGTTGTAGCTTTATAGTAAGCCTCAAAATTAGAAATTGGATTACCTCGAACTTTATTCTTCTTGAAATTTCTTTGGCAATTTTAGATTCTTTGCATTTTCATATACATCTTAGAATAACCTGGATAATCTAATTCAAAGTCTTCTGGGATTTTAAGTAGGACTGCATTATAGCTACAGGTCAATTTTGGGAGAACCAACATTTCAGCAACACTGAGTCTTCCAATCCATTATCCTGGTATAGCTTTCCATTTATTTCTGTCTTCTTCAGTTATTCTCAACATTATTTTTGTAGTTTACTGCATATATTTTAAATATTTTTCAAATTCATCCCTGTTGATAGTTTGATACTACTGAAAATAGCATTTATTTTTAAATTCTAATTTCCAGTTGCTCATTGCTAATGCACAGAACTATTAGTTGCTGGTAGCACTTTGGTAGATTCCTTAGACTTTTCCAGGTACAAAACATGTCATCTTTCTTTCCAGTTGGTTTACTGTTATTTCCTTTTATTACCCAGTTCCATCTTATACTGGCAGGAACTCCAACACAATGCTGGATAAAAGTGGTGACAGTGGACGTTCTTGCTTTGTTCCTCATCTTAGGGAAAAACATATTCTTTTGCCTCTATGATGGTAGATTTAAGTTTTTTGGTATATGCCCTTCATATAGTTATAAATTATAAATTCCTTTCTAATCTTTGTTTTCTGATTTTAAATCATAAGCGGTGAAATTTTTAAAATACTTTTTCATTGAGATTAACATATAATTTGGATTCTTTTATTGACATGTTTTGATTTTTGAATAGTAAACCAACTTCATATTCTCAACCTGATCTTGATATATTATCCTTTATTTATACTGCTGGGTTTGGTTTTCTAATATTTTGCTTAGGATTTTGTATCTATATTCAGGAGGAGTATGTATTGGTCTTCTGATCATCTTTTTCTGGTTTTGGCATGAGGTCAAAGTTCATCTCAAGATGTAAGATACTCAATGTTTTTTTGTACTTTCTGCAAGTGTTTCCATAAGATCGAGATTACATCTCCCTTAAATGTTATAATAGAATTCAATGGCACAATCACCACACACTGCAGCCTCAAACACCTGGGCTAAAGCGATCCTCCCACCTCAGCCTCAAGTAGCTGGGACTACAGCTCGGTGCCACTATATCTAGCCATTTTTATTGTTGCTGTCCTTTACTTTTTGTAGAGACAGGGTGTTATGCAGCCCAGGGTAGTCTGGAACCCCTGGGCTTAAGTGATCCTTCTGTCCTGACTTCCCAAATTGCTGAGATTACAGGTGTGAGTCACTGTGCTTGGCCTAGGTTTTTAATTATAAATTCAACTTCTCCAATTTATTGTCTTTGGTAATTTGTGTCCTTTGAGGGATTTTTCCATTTCATCTAAGCCTCAAATATATGGAAATATAGTTATTCACTGTCTTTGAAAAAACTGTCCATTCTAATTATTTATCAATCTCCAAGGGATTATCAATTTCTGTTGTGTTCAAAGAACCAGCTTTCTTAGATTTTTATATTTTGTTCATTTAGTATTTCCACTCGTTCCATCACTATCATTATTTCCTTCTTCTTATGCTTATTTGGCTTTAATTTACTCTTTATCTTCTGGTTGCTTAAGGTTAAATCTTTTATCAGTGATTTTATACTTTTATAAATATAAGCAAAGCTGTAATTTCTAACATTGAGGTATATCCCACACATTTTAGCATGTTGTGTTTTCATTTTCATTCAATTTAAAATATTTTCTAATTTTACTTGTAACTTTTCTTGGGCTCATGGGTTATTTAGAAGTACACTGTTTAATTCCTTAATGTTTGGGAACATTTCCAGATACCTTCCTGGTATTGATTTCCAATTTAATTCAGTTGTGGTCAAACAGCATATTGTGCATGATTTCAATTAATTTACATTTATTGAGACACACTTTTTTGTATTTACCTTTATCAAGACATGTTGTTTTATGGCCTAGTATATAGTCTATTTTCTTTAGTGTTCTATGTACACTTCAAAAGAAAATGTTATGTTCTTGTGTTGTTGGACAGAAGGTTCCATAAATATCCATTTTAAGTCACTGTGGGTGACTGTTTTTGCTTAAGTCTTCTACAATATATCCTGACTTTGTCTATTTGTTCTATTCAGTTAGTGCTAAATTAGGAGGGTTACAATCTTGAACTACAATTGTAAATTTTTCTATTTATTCAGTGATGTTAGTGCTTGGTGTATTTTGATATCCTATTAAGAAGCCTATGCTTTTTTAAAGTGCAGTATACCATTTTTTGTGGACAAAAGTATGAGAGGATGATAAAGACCTATAATTATAGAAAATAATATTCTGTTGGTAAGTAAACATATATAAAATTTCTAAATGTTAAAGAAGGTTGCTCATGGATGATAAAAACAGATGTTAGTAAGTAACAAAACTATTCTGATTCTATTGTAAAAATTTAAAAATAATGTAACTGGTTGATTTGAAGATACCAATATTTGCAAATTGGAAATTATCCTTTGCAATAGTCTAAATTTACAACTTTGAATGGAAGAATCAAAGCCCCATTGTTCATGGCAGTGTCTTCAATTACACATATTTATATTAGCTTTTTCCCTCCCCTCCCACACCTTTGTTTCTCCCTCATTTCCACCTCCTTGGATCATTTCCTGAATAAACTAAGTACAATCAAATCTTGTCTCTTCCTCTACGTTCAGGAGTACCCAAAGACAGTAGGTACCAGGACTGGAATGCAATTTTTTTTTAAATTTCTTCAGAGGCCACTTAGTTGAAAGGCATGAGAAGATCACTGCTTTTAACATACATCATGTATTTCCCAAAAACCCCTCCACCTACAAGTCTAATTATCTTTCCTTTCTTTCGTCTCCTTATACTCTCTGATAGCACCTAACTTGGTGAAAAAATACTTTTTATGTTTCCAATTGTCTATAGACTGTGATCTTATAAATCCCATATCCATTCCCAGCCTCTAAGCTTAATGGCCGGCACAGGGACAACCCTAAATGTTTACTGAAATTTCTATTTAATAGCTTCTAGGTACTTTATTTGCTTTACTTAATTCTCAAAACAAGGCTCTAAGCTGAGCATTATTCTCAATTTACAGATAAGGATACTAAAGTTCCAAAAGATCACACGGCTAGTAAATTGCCAGAGTGAAAATTTGAGTCCAAGACTGCAAAGTTCATGCCTGTTCTATTATATTATTAATAACTGATGTGGTCGCTCCATAGCTTGGTACGATGCAGGATACCATGAAAGGCTTCTGGTAATGGATTACTTCTCATAGGAAGAGAAATGAAGTTTGAAGGATTGTCTGGGTTTACAGAGAGACGACAAACAGCAGGGAATTTTCCAGAATAAAATAGTATGGCGGTAATAGAGGAAAACAAGTGTAGTCCATTTAATATTGAAGCTACATTTAAGTAACTTTGAGGATTATGTAAATTGCAAAAGATCCAGATTACAAAGACCTGACATGCTTTGAAACGGAGTCACTAGACATTCTAGAGCAGAAAACTGAAATAAGAATAGCTGCAGCACATATGCTGGAAAGAGACCATGCACTTGAAAAGCACAGGATTTGAACCTGCCCCTTAGGTCTTATCCAGGATAAGTTTCTAAATGTCTCTATATCTCAGCATTGTCTAGAAAATGATCATTTTACCTTATTTTGTGAACAAATCAGATACTGCAGGTAACATGTAAAATGTATGAAACATATGCAATGCATGGAACAGTCTGACAGTGACAATTTTGATGAATTAGAATAAAGGCAAAGTTACGGTTTCAGAGGCCAGTAGTAGTATCTTCATGACATTATTTTATAAAAAATGTTGGACTTTTAGTAGCATTGAGAAGTAAGAAGACAACATTATCTGTTTTAATGATGTGGATATGAGGGACGACTAGGTGTTTGAAACCTGGACCCTTAGGGTAACGTTATTAACGGAGACAGTGAAGTTGGCAGGAGACTTCATTTATTGGAAGGGAAATAGTATGCTTCATTTTGAACATGTGAAATATGAACATCTGAGAGGATATAAGACAGTGGAAATAAGATGAGTGTTAGGAAAAGGGGTTTTACCTGAAATTAAAAGAATAATCAAGGTGTTTTCAAAGTACATTACTCAAGTTTAGAAATAAGTCAGTAGAAACACAAGTATGAGGAAGTACAAGTTTATCAGTAACACACGAAGTGGGAGCCCTCTCTATCAATGCTGATTCTGTTCTGTCTGGGTGGCAAATAAAACACTGTCTTTTCAAGAGACACTCTCTCTAGTTTATTGCTTCTATTTAAATACATATAGTGATATTTAAAAATACTAAAAGGAAAGAAAATAATCTCATCTGAAACTTCTCACAATGGGTTGACTTCTTAGAAATTAATTCACTCTCTTAAAGAAGAAAAGGGTCAGCCCACTAGTTGTGAAAGGCTTCAATCAATTGATATATTCTATATTAAATGGAAAATATACATAAAAATAATTTGATTTAATGATCTAAATTTAAAAATTCAGATTTCCAGTTCATATATATATATATATATATATATATATATATATATATATAAAAGCAGAGCAAAAATTTCAGTAATCTATTAATGGAATTTTCAATTTGCTGGCTCACAAACAAATTGATCTAATTTTTAGAAACTACAAGAACAAATGTGCATTAATTTAACCCTGTTCACCAGGAATCGAAAGGATGGATGTTACTAGGTACAAAGGATCTTGGTTAAGGATGCTATTTGCTCCATATCTGAAAAAAAGAAGATATAAATTCAATGTCTAGAATGTAGCCATGACAGCGAAAATATTAAGAGTCATTATTTTACAACACAAAGGAAAGAGAACAGCATCAATCATAAAATATAGACGTTAGCAAATTTACTCCACACATCGAATACAGGCACTACTTTTTTACTTTGATATGCAAATTTAAGCAACTACCCCACAATACCACCCCGGCTAAAGCTTTTCATTTATCAGTAAAATCTTTCACAAAGTTAAAATATGACAAGTAAATACACAGGACTATATTTTCTGTCTGTTGATCTTTGGCACTTGACACGAGTTGGAGAATCTCAAAAGGCAATAAAAATTTCTGACTGTTTTGCACATTCTTTTAATCTTTACATCAAAAGATAAGGCCGCAAAAAGGCAAGCTGAAATTTTAGGATATGTGGAATAGTTTTAATAAAGAGTTTTACATACAGTACCCTTACATATAGAACAATGTGTTTGCAAATTTAAATAATATCTGAATGTACAGTGGCATGTATTCTTATCAAAGATAAATTCAAGTTTACTGTCTATCAGTTCTAAAATGCGTTTATACAGATTGTGAGAACTGATAAACAGAATGAGGCATAAAATATTCAAGTGTTATATGTCATCAAATAGCCTCCTCCTAACAGTCTTTATCCCCTTTTAAAAAAATTTCAAAACCTATACATACATTTTTAATTTTTAAAAACAGTCTGTTAAAAGGTAACATTTCATGTTAACCACCAATTCGTATAGTCTATAGTAATAAAACTAGATATGTGATATAAATATGTGTCGATTATGTACATATGTATGTTGAGTGTTTGTTTAAAACAAGCATACACACTTACGCATACCTGCGTATGTAGCACTGGGGGCGCATACAACTCACACGAGTGCTGGCAGACAGTAGGACCTAGGCTCAAAATCCAGCAAGAGCTAACACAGCAACTTAGTTGCCTTTGGTTTCAGAAATTTGTCCATTTGTGATCAAAGCTAAAAGTTTTGAGTGTGCATGTATTTTTTAAAAATAAAATTCAACTTCAGAAATGAAGCTTTTCCAGTATTCCACTACTAGCAGTTAAAAAAATCCACAGCCACAAATTATCTTGATATTTCTGTCACTCCTCATCCCAGCTGAGGTTATTTACAATTTTTTTTCTGAAGGCAAACACCAAGCATACTCAGGATCAAACTGTATGTTGAGCCTGAATACTGCCATTCAACTATATGTATGACATACATCGCATGGGTGATATATAGGTTTGGAGGGACTGATGGCATTATGTAAGACTTAGGGTGGGGGAACACCCACAATATTTAAAAACCTCTTTCCAGCAGAATGATGATCACTTGGCACATCGGACCCTTCTGCAAGCCAGTTTGTTTTTAATGAGCTTAATGCCTGCAATATATTCCAATTATTTGGTGTTTGTTTTTAAATACATTCATAATGAAGTAAGAATTCCACAACTGTTTTCCCCAGAAGTGAGACTTCTACTGTCAGTTTTCTGTTAAGAACATTCATCGCCCAAGAAACAGCTCATGATCCAATAAAAGTTTAAATATCCTAAACTTCCATACAGCTGGATCAACTGCTGAGAAGACAGTTCTTAGAGCAACCCTGTAGAATTCTCCAAAATTTAAATTTCCTTTACAATTTTGTTTTTGGCCAAGTGCTGGTTTATAAACGTAGATCTTTCTATTAAAAACTATATAAATATACCATATTTCTTTCTACAGGTATCTTGAGCTTCATGTAAGCAAGTATTCAAAAATTCTGCTCACTTGAAATCCTAGATTATATTCTACTTCATTGATCCTTGGCATATAACACATTCTCATTTGCAGCTTGCTCATGAATTTGTTTTTAAATTCTAGCTTCCTTGATAAAGTTGCTCTTCATTTTGCTTTCCAAGGTGCCATCCTATTGACATCACGAACCAGTGAATGACCAGACATTACTAGGCTTTTAAATTATCCACTTAGCTGTCATGTGGATAATAAAAATGATTTGACTGAAGAAAGCCACATTCTTTCATTAAGTGTTCACTGTTGTCATACAGAGCAAAGAGTGGCTATCTGCTGTACTTTGCCCATGTCAATTAGGAGCTGTTTTATGTGGCGTTTAAGTTGGGGCAATCTTGCAAGAGGATCTGGTGGCTCCAACTCCCCTGTGAAATCAAGCCAGCTTTCCAGAACTAAAAGAGAGAAGAAAATAAGCAAATCTGAATGGCAACTGGACGAACAGTCAGAAAATGATACAATTAGAAAGTTGGAGCTGTGATGGAGATAAGAGTTCACTTGCCTGTCTTTAGAAGGCCAACATACTCAAGCCATTTCCGAGAGGTTTAGCGTGCTGTCTATCCCGCCCCACAGAGTTCAAGTCCCTCCTGGCAATTTTTATCTGTCATTTAAGATAATTTTCCCCTTTAAATATACAGGAAATGTATATTTTTTATATATAAGAGGGAAAAATATACATACACACACACACATATATACATATACATACTAACTTCATTTTGAAGGTCCCCTTTTACTCCTAGAATCAGAAACAACAGTTCCCTATACTTGCTTAAGCTTTCTATTAGTTTGGACTCAAGTCATCTCTACTTTACACAAAACATACTTAAAAAATCCGGAAGTTCTTTTTAACAACGAAAAGGAAGGAGCAATTTCTCGGTATTCTTTCAGTTCCACTATTTTAACACTATTTTTTAAAATACACACAAGCATATTAAAATTCTAGGCAGAAAGCAATTGATTATCTTCTATAGTTCTTATTCATGCTCCCTTTGGAAATCTAACCTAATAATATGAAATAGTGTCAAGATACATTTTCTTTTCTTCAAAAATCTACTCAAAACATGACATCAGCCCTACAGTTAGCTTACACCCAGATGGAAGATGATTCTAAAATGGGTTTCCATTTCCTCTTTTCTTTTCTCAAGGGCGGGGGCCAGGAAGGAGTAGGAGCTCTAACTTAATGTAGAGGAGAAATATCACATGCTTATGCCAAATTAAAAAGAAAGTTGGGGTGCAGAATATCATCTATGATGTTAGGAAGAAACAGGAGTCAGAAAGCATTAAGAACAACATGGACTGAAAATCAGGTAATCTAAACTACTCTAGTTTCTCAACTATAAAATAGGGATAGTATCTTCCTGGCCTACTTTTCAGGCCTCCTGTGTGATGACACAATTTTAAAATATAAAAGAAAACTACTTGAAAATCTGTATGCAAACTTAAGGTTTACCTACTTAACTTTGTAGAAGTTAATTTAACTTAACAAGTGCTAACCAAAGTAAAATACGGATTCAAAATGTTTTCACATTTCAAAAATATTTACATTCCTTATGCTGACTTCTAAAGAAAACTTAGTTCAATTAAGCTAATAAATTTATTCCATAAGTGATCTATCTTGAGCCTGGCAGATAGACAGTATTTAATAAATATTCACCTTAAAAAAATGAAAACAACCTATGATCATACTGAGTCATATTGTTTTAAGTGTAAAAGATCCCAAATATGTCAAATACAATACAAAGGGAGTAATAAAGCCCCATCAGTATGGAGAGTATCTGTAGTTTTCATCCCATAATTTAAGAATTTTTAAGTAACTTCTTCATAGTAACAATAAACACAGTGTAGTAACTATATTTTAGTTCTTTCTTAAATTACCATCAACTTCTTTTTCTATTAGATCCATCCTGCTGGTAACTTCATTCTGCACATTTTCTATGTGCGTAAGGAGATTGAGCTGCCACTGAAGATGGGAGTCTCCTGGGTCTTCGGTGCCCTTTTTATCATTATAAACAAATACTGTATTCCCATCAGCTGGATTCTTCTCCAAAGGACCATTGGAAAACAAACACAAAGAATGAGATGAAATGTAGTCATTGAAGTAAAGATACATGAAACACCTCAACACTGGTAACAGTGAGATCCAATCTGACTCCTGGGATATCTTTAAAGAAGGACTGGTACATAACCAAATCCCAGCTGGTGGTTCTTAAGATTAAACGTGTCTACCACCTCCCTCAACCATGCCTCGCATGGTGTTACACAGGCAAGAAGGCTTCAATAAAATGAGCTAAATAAATGAAGTCACTAATTCTATTCTGCAATTAGAATACCTGACTAATTTGGACTGGCCTCTTCCTCAATTAATCTTAACTGGTAATGTAAGTGGACGGAAGAGGGCAAAGCAATGATGAAAAGAAATCAAGAGAGTTGCCAAAGACCAGTATAAAGTCTAACTATAGACTGGACTTTACTGTTACAGTACAGTAAACCAGTGAGGGGAGGGAAAAGCAAAAATCTTAAAATTTCAAAAGTGCAAACTGCTTCACACACACTCATACACACACAATGTGCATTTAGATTTGCCAGATAGAACTCATTTCATACAAGGGATATTAATTAGACAAAATAACTTACCACAAACTTTACGATTTGAAATACAAACTTTCCAATTCAGTTATTATTTACAGTAACTACTTGTTAAGGAATGCAGAAAAATGAAAAAAAAAAAAATTTTAAAGTGACCTCACTAATTGAAAATCAGTATAAAATAAAGGTACAACATTTCTAAGATAATCCCAGTGTACAGGAAATAAGTTTATAGATATCCAATACACAAAGATATGTCAGAATTCAGCTTACTGAATAGTGGGATGCATTGATAAATATACTACAATTTTTTAAAAAGAAAATTAAAGTGCCTCCTTTTATCTAACACACATAAAGAGGAAGACAAATCATTACACTCATATGTACTTTCACATTCTTACACATGGACATTTTCATTTGGAATACAATGTGGTTCATGTTTTAGAGGCATCTAATGTGCTTATACAATTGACTTTTGTGAGAGAAACAGTTTACTGAATTACTACAATTCTGAACTGGGAGATAATTAAATGTTGAAATGGCCAGTGATTTCCTCTAGAGAAACTTTAAAAAAATCTCCTTACTTTAACAAGATACTGGTGAACTTGGAAATAGAAGTAAAATGTGGGAATTCAGTATGTTTTATTTTATAAAATTTTCCTTTGTTGTTCTCATATTTTCCAAGCAGAGAAAAATGAACCAGTTTTACCTTTTCAGACATTCCGTGTTCTTTTGCTGAGTATTGTAAACGGTTTTTATTTCTCATGTGGAATTCTTGCTCTTCTTCAAAACTACTAACATCATCATCATCTGAGCTCCCAGGGTCTGCGAGAGATTTACAGTCCTGACCAAAGCTTTGTGGCTTTTGATAACTGTGCTCACTAGTTATATAAGTTCCTTCCATTTTTAGGGGCAAACGAGGTGGCTCTTTATGGTTCTGTACATATTTCTTTTCTTCTCGATTAACTGTGTCTTGTGCTATTTTTTTCTCTAACCCAGCTATTACTTGATCTTGGTCTTTTCGCTTCCCAGAACAAGCCCAGAGATGAAGGTCAGGATGATGTTTATTCCTTAAAACAAAGTTGAGAAAACAGCAGTTCAGAAAAACAAAACTCCAGTAACAAGCTGAATACAATAATATATTTCAGAACTAGGGTAGGAGATCTGGGACTCAAGACAAAAGCAAAGGTATTCTTTAAGTTAGGTCACTCCAGGATTTCATCCAAAATTTGAATTTTCTCAATTTTAAAGAAATAACTGACTTTTTATTGTCATTTTTTAATTGTAAAATTTGAAAAACTTTCATGTAAGCATATTTTGAAAACTTTTACTCAGTCAAAAAGTGATAATTCCTGATGAAAAAAATCCTAAATATAAATGCACAGAAAGTAAAAATTTCCTCTCCCATGGCAATCATAAATAACTGAGGTATAAACTTCCAGACTTTTTCCATATACCTAAAATTAGTTCTTAAATGGATGTAAGTATACACATCTTCTTGTGACACAAGCAGAACACATACAATCTGCCTTTTTGTACCAAACATGCTATGGGCATCTTGCCATATCATTTCATACAGATAGATTTCCCTTACTTTTACTCTAGTGGCTGAATAGTTAACAAATGTACAGTCCAGCCAACCACTTTCCTATTGTTATATGTCTGTGTACTTGTGTGTACCTTTGTACACAAGTCAGAATATTTCAGTCAGACAAATTTCTAGATACGGAATTGCTAGATAACATGCAGATTTTAATTTTGATAGGTACTACCCAAGTGACCTAGAAAGGGATACTAATGACAACCCCACCAACGATCTATGATGATGCCCATTTATCTCATCCTCACTGAACATGTAAGCATGATATTGTATAGTTAATTCTGCAGTAATTAAAATTCTGCAGTAAGTAAAATAGAAATCCAATCATCAGAGCTGAAGTGAAAGGACATTCAGGATATATAAACCTTTCAAAAGGCTCAGAATGTTTGCATATTAATAATTTCCAAATTAGATACATACTGAGTCAAATTAGTTCTCTTCCAATAATACTCAAGTATTGCTTCTGAAATCATAATGTTTTGAATCCCTAGTAATTTAATATTCAGAAAATACTAAAACACTCATATCAGTAAAAGGCATAATAGAAGAAAAGCTGGCACTGTAGTCCACAAGGGGTTGAATTCTGCTGTACCATAGAGAAGCCTAGACAAGTTACAAAATCTCTGTCTTTCACTACCCATCTATGAAATGAAGTAGTTTATTATGAGGATTAAATATCACACGAAAGTACATGATGTGTAGGACTTTTAATAAATTGTACACAATATATATTATGATTTAAAATATTGACATAAAAGGGCCTATAACTATATGAAACAGAAATGGTCCAATTATAATCCTTAGCAAAATAAGGAATGCAGACAAACTCATACTAACACAAAGGAAATCAGGTTTTAAAAAAAGACCTAATACATTAGTCCCTCCCTTAAGTCTCAGCATTTACACGGCCTTTTAAAAAAGAAACTCATACTCAGGCTTATGATAAACAGAAGCAAATTTTATTCAACAAATAGTTACTGAGTACTTACCCTACACTATCAATTGGAGATAAAATGCTGAATAGGACACAAGCCCTATTTTCAAGGATCCCATGATGTAGTAAGGGGAGACAGACATAAAAAGATTAAGTACCAAAGTGCCTGACACCAGTATGCATGGACTTTGCCAAGAAGACATAGTCAACTTCAGTTGGGCCAACTCCAGTTAATTATAAAAGGCAACTGCTACGGGTACTAGCGGTAGAAGCTAATCCTGGTAAAGGCCTAGAGCTATGAAAAAGCTTGCTTCATTTAGGGATTACGGTTTGGGATAGCTGGAACACTGGGGGAAAAGCACAGGGAATATGGGAGTATGTGGCAACAAAACGGTAGACAGAGTATGTGTCATGGAAGGACTCAGTCCACTGGACAACAGGAAGTTGCTCTACTACATTAAGTTGGAGAATGACAAGCTGATTTATCTTCTACTAAGCTCACACTGGCAGCAGTACAAAGAATGAACTGATAGAGTACAAGATTAGAGCCAGAGATAATGGACCAGCATGGCAATCATTCACGTGAAATATAACAGCCTGGCTGTGACAGTACTAGTGAGAAGGGAGAGAGGAACAGACTGAACAATGTTCGCAAATTGCAATGGATAGGATGTGAAGGACACAGGATGGGCCGGCAAGGAGAGGATGAGGCCAAGTTTTTGGCCATCACAAGTACATCCAAATGAAGAAAATCTTGTGAAGAATCAGTGAATCATCCTGTTTTTAATTAAAATGTGGGGTTTTTTACATTTGTTCTTTTAAGGAAGAATTACAGTCAGGCATTAGGAAGGACTGAAAATAAGCACTTCAAGAATATTGATATGTTCTTCAGGAAGGCCGAGACTTTTTTAAGAGAAAATCCTATGGGATGACTAACACGTTTGGTGCACAGCAGAGAAGCAGATTCTGGTTTGTAGACTCCCTTCATCCCCTCTCAGTCAATCTTTATATATATTAAAAAAGACTCTCCCTGTTTAGAATCTATTTCATCTTGAGAGCATTCCTGAAGGAGGACACAATGTATAGGGTTCACCACAGCAACTGCACTTAGTTTTGCACATTATGGTGAACACATCAAACAATGGGACAGCGGCTAGAATGTGTTGAATTACTAGATGCTGTATCTACCTTTAACCACACTTACACATTCTAGGAGAATACGCAGAAAGCACCAACGCATCCAGAGGGTTGTTAATCTTTCCTCGTTTTTAAAAATGAAACTTTATTCAAATATCTGTTCTCTCCTCCAAACTGTTACTCTGGACCATCAAAAGGCCAAGGGTGCTGGTCTGAATTAAAATGTCTGCTGAAATGTGACCCTCCCTTTGCCACCCTTCACTTACTTTAGTATTCCAATCTTCAGCTGTAACCCGTGTAGCACTTCTGTAACACCACAGACATCAGCAAGCAGATGATGTGTAGAAACTATCTTTTTGGCATTGAGATGAGAATAATTTTCTTTGAAAAATGATAACCCGCACATTCTCCCATTATTCAACCACTCCTTATCATAACGGTATTTTGCACTCCACCTCTGACCTGTAGATGAAGTTGACATTAAAGTCACAAAGGACCACAAGCACTTATTCAGATTTCTCTTCAGCTGCTACCCTATTAACGTTGCTCATTAAGCAAGTCAAGCTCTAGCACCAGGAGCAGATTCAAATAATTAAGACAGCATTTTGAGGAACTGGTGCAGGAGAAGCTTCTCCACACCTTCAGTGTTCCTGCCCACCAACGAGAAGAAACTCCATTAAGGATGTGGTCGGGCTGGTGGCAGATGACACCTGCAAAGGCAACCTTGGGCATACTGCCTTCAGTGTTTTTGTAGTTATCACCTGTCCTCTAAAAAGGCTCAAAGGGCTGGATTAAAAACTAGATACGGGCCAGACATGGTGGATCACACATGTAATCCCAGCATTTTGGGAGTCCGAAGCGGGCGGATCACCTGAGGTCAGGAGTTCAAGACCAGCCTAATATGGTAAAACCCCCTCTCTACTAAAAATATAAAAATTAGCTGGGCATGATGGCGTGTGCCTGTAGTCTCAGGTATACGGGAGGCCGAGGCAGGAGAATTGCTTGAATCCGGGAGGCGGAGGTTGTAGTGAGCCAAGATCATGCCACTGCACTCCAGCCTGGGTGACTGAGCGACATTCTAGCTCAAAAAACAAACCAAAGCAAAACAAAAAAACTAGATAGGGGTTACTTCTCTCATTAACCTTAGTTTTGAATTGGATGAACCACAGAGTTCTACTTGAGTAAATAGGAATCCTTCCCCCATGTCTGTGATTTCTCAGAATCCTATGAAATTCAATATCCTCCATGTTAATACAAATTAGATCTTATTACAATTAGGTACTTATGTGCCTGTGTCCTGTACTATACTACTAGCTAGTTGAAAGCATGGTTTAATCAATGATCTCACCACAGTGGCAAATAGAAGCCATCCAATAAATGCTGCTGAACAAGTATCAAATGTCTACATTTGTTATTGAAAGAATACAATGAATAATAAATACTACAAATTTTAGTGAATGTATAAACAAATGTCTACATTCATATGGCTGTGACTAATTCTCTTCCTTCTTACTGTGACTTTTTTTGTGACTTACTGTGACTTCTTTCTTTATTTCATATAGTCATGGGCCCAATTCACCACATTCCTATTATTTGAGAAAACCTAGTTATTTCCTGCCTGGAGGCTGAAGTTAAATTCAACTTGCAGAATATGCTATCTGAAGACCGTCTAGCATAGAGGAAGGCACCAGGTAGACAGTACGGTGAACTGAGAATCAAAAGGCACAGGTTTCATCTCAGTCTGCCTCATCAGTAAAATAAAGGCATCACAGGTGGTGTCCTGAGGCCCCACCTGCTCTACAATGAGTCAAACATGCAGAACTGCCAGGTCAGTAGCGTGCAAGTTCAGAACACAGATGCAGATCTGCTCCGATTGCCACAAAGAAGCCTAGCTAGAAGAAGAATAGACAGGCTAATTCTTCTCTAGGAAGAAGTCATACCTATTCTCTTTCAGTAAGATAGTAATTTTCTTGATAAATGTATGCTAATGTATTTAAGTAATCAACATGGAAAACAGAAGTCCAAGTGAAAAAATATTTTAAAACTTTAATATGGAAGTTGAGTCTAATTGATCAAGAAGTACAGTGAGTCCTCCCTGAGCGTAATTGATAGGTTCTTGGAAACTGACACAATGAATAAAGAAACGAATTGTACTATAAGCTCACTGATATAAACAAATTAAGTTCCTCTGGCATATAGCATGCTGTTTCACTTGGATTCAGTTTCCAAGAACCTGTCAATGACATTATGTGAGAACTTGCTGTAGTGGTGGTGAACACAGATGACACACTCTAAAATCCTGGAGGAGACATGGAGGAATCCTGGCAATGAGCACGGTGTAGAAACTCTTACCCGGTGGGTCCCGGCAGACATAGCAGATGTACTGCTCTGGAATGCTCTCCTCCAGCAGCCCCATGCACACACTATGTTGCCAGCACAAGCATTCTTCACACTGCAGAAAACAGAGGAGTATTGCAGTCACCTGATCCTCACTAGGAATAAGCTAGGAATAAGGATACGTGCCCATTTGAATTCGCTGGCTTGGCTTCTTACTGCCACTATCAGTTCCATTCTTATTTGACTTAACAAAATCAAGTCATGTTTATCTTTGAAATGGTCAACTACTTCAAGAACTGTCTTTTGTTGCACCTATTAAAATATGTTTTGATCAACTACTTAAATCCTAAAAACTTCGTAATTTCTCTGATTTAATTCCCACCGATTTTAAGGCAATTACATCATAAAACTCTTAGTTTAGTAAAATGCAGAAATAAGAAAAAAAAGTAGTTTGTAGCAGTTTCTACAGCAATGATCTCTTAAAGTACTACTCTCGTGGTAAAGCTATAAATTTGTAGTTACCTCCAGAAAACCACTGAAAATGGTAGGAAAAGCAGATTACTCTTTCTTCATGCTCTCAACTAATATCTCCAAATCTTCTGACATCCCAAAATTTCCTTTTATCTTAAAGATACCTTTCATACAAGAAGTTGCTAATTCCTGCAACAAAATTTTTCCCTTTTTTTAAAAATATGGGAAATTTCTATTTTTTAATAACTGACATGTGAAGGGTGACTATATACTGTTAATTATAATAACTAACATGGATGCCGATGAGGAAGAGAAAGCCTGCTGCAGCCTGCCCTTTAGTGTGAGGGCTTACCACCCTAATCATTCTAAAGAGCTTCAGCTTGAAGGCCTCAAACTAAATACCCTAGAAAAGAGAGACACTAAAATAAGACGCTGTCTACTACACTTGATGAGGAAATATCCTAATCATTACTATGGGTATTTTCCACAAAACAAGTTAGAACCCTCTATCTTCAGTAGAACAGTTAGTAAAGAAATAAAACACTGTAATGCATTAGCTGAGCACCTGAAACAACTGACTCATTACTATAGGGAAGAGAGGTTAGCCAATTACCTGGATCATGAAGCCATTCTCCTCATCCATCTCACAAACACATCGCACAATTTCATTAAGAGCATCATCTTCATCCTGAGATTCCTCAAAATTGGTTGAATCAAAGTCCTGATTGTATTCATCCCCACTCAGAAGCAAACTCTCCGTTGAAGAATCATCTAGGAAGTCTACATCTGATAAGTCTAGAATATATATAAGAAGTATACTCAGTGCCACATCTTTTTTATATTTTCATGTCATTTTTCATAAAGAAAGGAACTATGAGAAGCGATCATAAGCTATTAAACATTTTAAAAAGGGGAGCAAACCAATGAGAATATTGTATTGTACTTGCCTCTGGACATAGAAACAAGATTTTTGAAGCTTAGGCTATTATGACTGCTTTACATCTTACAGTATACACTATTATAAGTAATTCAAAGTATCTTTCAGACTTCATGCTTACAGAATTTATGGCTAAGGCTGATATCAAAAATTTAAATTTGCATAGTTTCCATATACTTTCACAAACATGATCTCTTCTGATCCTCATAAAAACCCTGGGTTCTCCCCTTGTGATTTCATACTATTGGTGTGACACCACGTCTGTGGACCTGAGGATAGATGTGTGTAGTAAGTCCCCATTAGCCAGCATAAGCTGGCTCTAGCACACCACTGATGATTCATTTGTATTTTTTCTTTTTTTGGATTAATAAAGTGCTTTTTGAAAATTCACACGAAAAAACCCCAAAACAAAAACAAAAACCTGGACTGTAAAGAGGACAGGTTTTATTATTTGTACTATAAACTTCAGAGAGGTAAAGGAGCTTGCTTAAGGTCTAAAATCAACAATACCATCATTGACAGTATCAGTAGCATCAACTACTATATACTTAGTAAGCACGCAGTACTATATTAAGCACTTTAAACATAAGACATATAACTTGCTTGAGAAATGTAGTTATGGAGTGGGAAAGCAACTGAATACCAGAAATGCCTGATTCTCAAGCCTGTGTTCTTATTCACTTTACCAGTATTTCTTAAAAACAGAACCATGAGTTCCCTAAGGAATTTTTAAAATGTATTAATTTTGTTTTGGTAAGAATTTTTTTTTTTTAATTAAGCATTTTCTAGAAACTAGATCATAGGGATGACAACTACATACAACTCAATTTACATGCCAGGTTTTAGGTGTGTCTGTATAATTGTGTCAATGCCAAACCCGACCGTTTTGCTCAGGTTATTGAGGAAAAGAAAACTGAGACAGACACGGGGGAATCTTTATTTATAACAAAGGAAAATAAATGATGATGGGACACTAAATTTTTTGCAGTAGTTTGGATGGAGAAATGCTAGGAAAACTGAGTCATCACGAGACACAGAACATCATATAACACTGTATGAGCTCCCGACAGGCTATTCAGCAGAGCAGCTTCCTACCTCACATCCTATCCCCAAGCCACATTCTGAGTTATTCCTTGACCTGCTTATCATCTATCTCCTCTTACAAGAATATCAGAATCCATGACAGCAAGAAATTTGCATTGTTGAATGATACATCCCCAGTGATTAGAATGAGGTCTGATATATAACATAGCCACTCCAGAATGTTTGTAGAAGAACTAAGGAGTCACAACATTTCCTTTTCAGACTTAATCAGATCGGATTGAAGTTGAACAGATTCGAACTTTAAAAATTCAGGCTATATATACTTTACATATTCAATATGACAGTGTTTCCTCTATCAGCTTCTAATCTGGCATTTTTCTTGAGTCAATGTTTTTTAATGTTTTGTTGTTGAATTGTTAATGTTTTATAGAAAAATAGTTTCCTTCTCTTTGAAGTCAGAGGACATATGGAAGGAAGGTCAGCAGAAATAGATAATAGAGAATTAGGTAACAGAGAATACAGAATGAATAGAAAATATTCATTGAGCTAGTAAATCAACTAGATAAGGAAAATCTAATATGAACAGTATAACTTGTTTTAAAAGAACCTAAAGAGGAAAATTTCACCCATCCAGAATCTTGCTGGCTTAAATCCAAATTTTCTTTTGGGTTTTCCCAAGTACAAGTTTAATAGAATGTGGACAAAACAGTTTCAAATACTATTGTAGCATATAAGCAGTATTAAATAGGCCTGAACAGTGGCTCAAACCTGTAATCCCAGCACTTTGGGAGGCCATGGCAAGAGGATCACTTTAAGTTAGGAGTTTGAGACCAGTCTGGACAACAAAGGAAAAATCTCATTTCTACAAAAGCAAAAATAATTTGCTAGGCATGATGACATGTGCTAGTATTCTTAGCCACTCAGGAGGCTGAGGCAAGAGGACTGATTGAGTCAAGGAGTTTGAGGCTGCAATGAGCTACAATCACACCACAGTACTTCAGCCTAGGCAACACAGCAAGAACTTGCCTCAAAAATAAATTAATTAATTAAAATTAATTTGAAACTATATCATTGAAAGGAATTAGTGTATCTCACAAATACTTGCCTGGCAAAAATTATCAGGTTTTATGGTGTTAGCCAGCAAATTTATAATATTCTCCAGAAAATCCAGTTTGAATAACTCCCAAGCATTAAACATATGCTTAGCTGAGTTTTGGAAGTCAAGTAAAATGGATGATAGGGCTGAAAGTTATATAAGAAGCAAATCAAATCTCCCCCTTGCGCTTAAATAGCCACCTAGACAATGGCTCCAATTGAGTGGACACAAGAACAGCTGTCGCCTTCTAACCACTATCCCTTAAACAGTCACTGCTATTTCCTGAGATAGCATTTTGCAAGTATGGTTCCCTGACCAGCAACATTATCATCACCAGGGAACTTGTTGGAAATCAGAAATTCTGAGGGTGAGGGCCAGAAATGTGTTTTAACACACTGTCCAGGCAGTTCTGACACATGCTAACATTTGAGAACTTCTAGCCTAAGACCTTATTAACATTCCTTTTCTTTCTCCTGGCTCAGTATTTGATCGCAAGGGCAGGGCAGAGACCAGGAAGAACAGAGAGTACCCATCTGTGGCTCTTCTCATACTCTTTCAATGATTCTTGCTTCAGCACCACAGCTAACCTAGATATAACCCCTATTCTCCACCTCTCTACAGCAAGAGATGATCTTCAGATCTTGATCATTTACTGCAAGGGTGTTCTTAACCTGATTACCAACTTCTGCTTCTCCACAGAATCACCTAGAAGTTGTATCTTGCCAGGATCATTCCAGAAATCTCATTCAATTGTGCCTCATGGTAGGACCCATAATCAGTATACTTTTAAAGCACGACAGCAATGATTAGAAGGTCCACCTGGAGTTAAGAACCACTGAACCATGGGAAAAAGGGGACTTGTGTTTGCTGGAAAGAGTGGTGATAACTTCTTTTCAATCCCCTCTCATATCTCAAGCTTTCTAAAAATAAAATCTCACAAGTGTCATGTGCTATAAAGGAAAGAAAATGCTTTCTCCATAAAAGCCAGGGAGGAGTTAGACCTGGAAGTGAATGGTGCAAAAGAAAACACTCAAGCTAGTATCCACCATTGAGCTCACTCATAAGGATACTGGATTGTACAAACACTGAAGGCCTCGTCCCTTATTCCTCATTCTCTGACTCAGGTCCCTACTGCATTAGACCTCTACTCTTATGCCACAGCCCTCAAAGTCTAGACTTGGGAACTCTCTTCTTACTGTTTGTAATATTGGAAGGAAAGTTAAGAGTCTTCAACATTTTCCACTGTTGGTATAAAGCCAATTTAACTTTATATAACTAAAAAGTAGTTCAAATTTCTCATGTCAAGACTTTCATATTAGTTTAGCTAACAACTTTTTAAACTGTGTGCCCTTAAAAGAGTATGTTTTATTCTCAGTTACACATTTAAGAATTGTAAATCTTGTTTGAACCATTACATGGTCACACATACTTTCACCACTAAGATCAACGGACAGAATTGCCCTTGGGTACTGATAGGTTGTAGTTTTCTCCATAAACATGCTTCGTGGAGCCAGAGAACTCCCAGAAGATCGAGTTAGTGGAGAAGAGCACCTTTCCAAAAATTCGAGGGAACTGTCTTCATAGTCTGAATAGTCTGCAACATAAGATACATAAAGAAATATTAATAATGTGTCAAGTAATTAAGAAAAGTCACTATGAAAATAATGGAAGTCATGTGCAGGATACATCAAATAATCATGCTACCACTTTCTTTTCTCATCCATGAAAAGCTGATACATATCTGAGAAAGTGGGTTTAGCAAGAACACTTGGGAAACAAACATACCCCAGACAATATATATATATACATAGTAGGGAGCATCAGGTTCTAACTAGTACCAGTAAACTTTTGTGAAGTAGTACAGAGGTGAAAAAGGATTATTTCTACATTTTCCCTCCATTATAATCACAACTGTCTGCAGTAAAATACACAAGATGACAACACATGGGGAAGAATACACACACGGCGGCCGGTGGGAAGTAGGAGAGAACATTAGGAAAAATAGCTAAAGTAAGGCATGCTGGGCTTAATAACTAGGTGATGGGCTGATCTGTGCAGCAAATCACCATGGCACATGTTTACCTATGCAACAAACCTGCACATATAACCAATAACTTATCTGGTTGGTGCAAAAGTAATTACAGGACTTTTGCACCCACCTAAGAAAAGTTGAAGAGGAAAAAAAAAGATATGCAAGATGGAAATTAATCTTTTTTCTTCCTCACAATTTGTAAATAAGTTCTCCTGATGTCTAGCAAACCAATTATATAGTGATAATCAGATCAATATTTTTTCAACTAAAAAATCTCTGCAAATAATTAACTAATCCTGGAATAAATCTGTAAAAATTCTGTTTTTCTCAGTTTGGAATGAGTCCCACAGATATTTGCAGGGGAGAAGCCGTATGCAGCGTACTGGAGAGTTGAAAGTACAGTGAGGGAAGGAAACACGGAGGCAGGGGTGTGATTCCAGGCGTGTGGGAAGGATCTGAAGCTGAAGAGTGGATGATGCTACATTTGGCCAACTGTAAGAGTGGCTGAGCACAGTGAATAATGGGGAAACAAAGCTAGAGTGACAGGAGCCAGATCAGTTTTTTTTTTTTTTAAAGTTTTACCTGAATGCAATAAAACCTCCATCATTCAATGGTTGTGTGGAGAAGCACGATGTGACAGGTAAATTTCCATTTCTGGAGGCTCACCCTAGCTGTGGAGTGGAGGATGGAGTGCAAGAAGGCACACGTAAAAGCGGGGGGATGCTTCAGAGGCTACAGCAGGAGTCCGGGCAAGAAATGCTCGTGGCTCAGAACTCGAGTGATGGCAACTAAGGGGAAGGTTTTGACAAAGACACAGTGCTGTTACAGACTAGAGGCCAAGAGCTAAGATGGTATTATCAAAACTGATTTCCAGGTTTTTGCTTGAGCAACTAGGTGATGAAAGTGGGTCTGAGACGGGACTGAAGAATAAATGCAAGGTGGAGAAACCAGAGAAGAAACAGAAGTTCAGAGGAGGGTTCTGTAAGATGGGAAATCTTACGCATCCCTGCATGAACCTAAAGATGTGGGGAAGGGGGATGGCAGTGGTGAAAAATGCCAGATTAAGAAGAGAAAGGCAGACATTTCCTCCATTTTAATAGAGGCAATGAAAAGGAGTATTTTCAGGTACATATGCAGATGTGCTGTACAGACTATGAGCAAGTTCCCACCTGATGATGTCTGTCTCCTCACCTCTGTGAGGAAAAGGGAATACATGAGAGGTGGAAACAAGTGAGAAAAAAGAGTGGAGGGCCGGGCGCGGTGGCTCAAGCCTGTAATCCCAGCACTTTGGGAGGCCGAGGCGGGTGGATCACGAGGTCGAGAGATCGAGACCATCCTGGTCAACATGGTGAAACCCCGTCTCTACTAAAAGTGCAAAAAATTAGCTGGGCATGGTGGCGTGTGCCTGTAATCCCAGCTACTCAGGAGGCTGAGGCAGGAGAATTGCCTGAGCCCAGGAGGCGGAGGTTGCGGTGAGCCGAGATCGAGCCATTGCACTCCAGCCTGGGTCACAAGGGCGAAACTCCGTCTCAAAAAAAAAAAAAAAAAAAAAAAGAGTGGAGAAATGAGATTGTAAGAGAAGTACTGGTCTGTACTTGGTACTAGTCTGTACTAAGTATCCATTTGACGTTGGGAGTTGTGGGAGGCAGAATAATATTCCCCCAAAAATGTCTATGTCCTAAGCCCTAGAACCTTTAAATGGGCTAAGACACATGGAAAGGTGGAATTAAGGTTGCTAATCAGCTGACCTTACAACAGGGAGAGTATCCTGGATTACCTGGGTGGGCCCAATGTAATGGGAAGGGTCCTTAAAAGTGAAAAGATGGAGGCAGAAGAGACCATGTGAGAGTGAAACAATGAGAAAGACTGGACCATTGCTGGCTTTGAAGATGGGAACAGAACAAGACTCAAGAAACACAGGAGCCTCTGGAAGCCAGAAGAGGCAAGAAAATGGACAGTTCCCTGAGAGCCGCCAGAGAAAAATGAAGCCCTGCTGATACCTTGGTTTTAATCCAGAGAGACCCATTTTGGACTTCAGACCTCCAGAACTTTAAGAAAATAAATACGTATTGTTTTAAACCACTGATGTGCAGTAATTTGTGACAGCGGCAACGGGAAACTGCCACTGGTCATCATAAATACCATAGTATAACCAACACTGATTGAGTCAGCTCTTTATGTATATTAACTCTTAATCCTCACAAGCATCCATAAGGGAAGTCAGACTGTCAGTAAAGAACTGTGGCAGGACAGAGAAAGTAAATTGCCCAAGAACACACAACTATCCATGGCAAAGCCAACATTCAAACTCAGGCAGCCTAATTACGGAAGCTGCACTCTTAACAAGTGATATAGGTGTATTTCAACATTTAAAGTGTGTACAAGCTGGCAAGCTTGTTAAAACCCGATTCCTGGGCCTCATCTCCAGTACATCGGGAACGAAACACTCCCAGATGATGCTGATGCTGTCAGATTACAGCAGGCTTTGGGCAGCACTACATTATTCTGCCCCCAATGGCCTCACCATAACCACGGTTTGCCCAACACCATGTTACTTTGGCCCAGACATGGAAAGGGTATTTATTAAATGCTAGGTACTATATCAAGTACTTTATAATGATTATTTAATTTGAATAAGAAATCTATGCAGTAAAACTATCAATTACCATTTATTTTAGAAGAAAGGAAATTGGGATGTAGAGAATTTAAATAACCTGTCAAGGGTCACTTAGCTCTAAGTGTTATAGGCAGGATTTAAGTCCCTGTGCTCAACCTTCAAGGCTGCCTTCTTATCAACTCCATTCTGTATCGCCCTTTCAGCATAAGTAAAAGTAGAAGCAGAGTCTGAGTGTAAAAATAATGAAAGAAATCTCAATTTTTTGCTAAAATAAAACATGGCTGATATTTAATATGTGTCATTAACAAAAAACAAAGCTTGGCATTGTGCACCCTGTCTGTGTTCCCCACTCCAATCCCTTCTGGCTATTATCTGTTATGCTTCAAGACTTAGATCAAAAGTGGTCTCCTACATGAAGCCCCTTCCTTGATTGCCTCAGCTTTTCCAACTTAAAGATTTATTTTGTACCACTATTACCACACATATAAGACCTACCTGGTAGAAATTTATGTATGCTTATCATTCTTACTATATACTTAAATGACTTCAAGCTTCTTGAAGAAATCTTCTTTACTATGCAATGCTTTCAATTCTCTTTTCCCTGCTAACTCTATTTCTTTTTAATCTCTATATGCTTTCAGTATCCTTATATTCATAGACACATGAAAGTCAGAGATGAAGTGATTTGCTCAAAGTATCAAAGCTAAAAACTGGCAAAGATGTCACTCTTAAATCCTAACATGATGACTTCTCATCCACACAAATTAAACACAACATTAGTATTATGTCTCGTAAACCAATTCTGTTACTCAAAACGTATCATAACCCACTACCTCACAGAATAATAAAAAACAACTAATGTAAATTATTACTTTGCACAACTGCATCAAAATAACAGATAAGGACAAGAACTTAGTATGCCAACAAAAATAAGTAAAAAACTTGTTGAAAAGAAGAATACACAGTTTGATAAATAATATTTCAGGTATTAGTAATCCAGCATGGTGGTTAAAGTTAAAAATTCAGACTAGTAAGTCAAACTGCTAGGATTTGAAATGAATCTGCTTTTCACCACTTGCTAGCTATGAGACCTGGAGAACTCTGTTTCTCACTCTCTCTCAGTTAACTGTTGGTAAAATGGAAATAACAAATCCTACTGTTAAGGGGTCATATGAGGATTAAATGAAGTAATAATATTTATAAAATGCTTAGTTTTTGGTACAAAAGTACCAGCAGGATATATGTAATAATGTTGAGCAGTAAATAAGAGTTTGAAACTCCCTATGGTGCTAACTGTACACTAAAAACATATCAAGAACCTCATACAGTAATAATGTCAATTCTTTAACATTAAGATGTCTTTAAAATTTCAAAGTTACTTAACATCCTGTATTTCCCACTTAAAGACTACTCTTCTAATTTAACCATCCGGGGAAAAGTGTTACTTCTAAGATAAAGTAAATGGCTCAGAATAAACTCTTCTCAAATGCAATAATTGATTACAAAGATGATAGTGATTGCCAAACTCAACACCTGCCTTTTACAAATAGCAATGTTTCTGTGCATCTTACCAGGACTCTACTTACAAAGTTAAGATGTTCATTTGTAAGTCTGATTTTAAAATGTAAATATATATGGTTTTCTTTTTTATTAAAAAATAAAAATATGTACCACTTAAAGTATGTTTCAATGGCTCTTTATACAGGGTTACCATAGTTAAGGCCTGGTCACAATTCTAAGGTGCAAGTTTTTTGACCATTTTTCCTCTATTAATCCTAATTTCTCAAATTACAATTACTGCATTCTCCTAAGCTCTATCCCTCATTTTGCTGCCAATCCTGAGCCTCTTCTTATTTTGCTTTGTATCAGCCCCTGTTATCTTTTCCCCACTTTCACAGGTATTTTGTATATAAGATTCTGTCTGCTACTAAATATTAGAACCGACCAGTTTGCTGCTGTGCCGTAAGATGACTTAAAACATTCCTGCACTGACAATGTAGGTCTCCACTGGAACACATAAGCTAGGCAAATCCCCTGAGAGTCTCCGGTCAGGTGGGAGTTCATCTGGAAGTTTTATTTGCAGCCTGAGCTTCTCATACCTGTACTGTGACATACCACTCACAGGAGGGTATTCACTCATCAAATCAGTTCATGGTGAACGGTTTTTGTTTACCAAACTCCAGAGTTTCCTACCTCTACATCATTTCTAGTTTGAATTTACAGCTATATATGAAGAGGTGATGTGGGGGCAGGCAGAAGGGAAAGGAGTGAGGAGAAAGGCACATAGAGAAGTGCCCAGAAATGTTCAACATTCTCTCTGGAAAGCCAAGCTTATGAACTCCATGTTGATCCTGTATCTTCAAATTTACTCTGGCTTTAGAATTCAAGAATATAGAAACTTTATTACATTCTGTGGAAAATTAAATGTTATTTTTGGACTATGGAGAGTTAAAATCTGAAGAATTTAGCAACAATCATTACCAACTACAAAACTGCTCAGTTGGATTTATATTTTTTAAAACTGGTTTTATTAAATGTGTAATAAATATGAAAAAATCAGCATGACACAAAGAATATCAACACCACAAAACGCTTAGGTACTAATCCCACAGTTTAAGGCAGCGTCAACATTTCTGAAGGTCCCTTTGCACCACTTTCCAATTTGAACTGATAACGTTCCTTCCCCACCTTAGAGGCAACCACTGTCCTGAATTTTTGTTCATCATTCTCGTTTTTCTTCTTGCTTTTCCCACACACAGTTGAATCTCTTAAAAATATACTGTTTAGTTTTATAATTTTTTATCTTTACATAAGTGAAATATTATGTTTTCTTCATTTTGTTCCTGAGATTCTGTAGCAGTAATTCATGTATTTATTCCACTGAGGGAATGCATGACTTTTGATGAAGAGCTGGGCCGTGCCCAGTGCTGCTGTGAACACTCTCATATCTGATGCACCGTGTGAGTTTCCTCAGGGATTTTTAGGCCACGTGGCACAAACATCGTCACCTTACTCCCTGATCCCCAACTAGTCGTTGAGTAGTTGCCTTCATTTCCTCAGCAACATCTGCAGTTATCTACCTGGTCATTGTGCCAATACAGCAGGTATGAAACAGACTTCAGTATGCTTTAAAAATTGCGTTTCACTGTCTAATTTTCTGATGTCTAACCAATTTTCCATACAATCCTATGTGGTCATATTCTTTTAATACGTTGCTAGATTTAATTTCCTAACATTTATTTATGGATTTTGGATCTACCTCCATAAGTAAGAAGAGCTTGCTGCTGTGCTTTCCCGTATTATTCTCTCCTGATTTTGATACCAAAGTTATTTAAAACATTTAAAATAAACTTGGAGTTGTGTTCATTCCTAGGGGTACCATAAGAAATTACCATAAATTTAGTGGCTTAAAACAACAGAAATTTATTCTCAAAGTTCTGAAGGCTGGAAGTACAAAATCAGGGCCTGACAGGAAAGTGCTCTCTCTGCAAGCTCGAGGGGCAAATCCTTCCTTGACTCTTGCAACTTCCGGTTCCTTGGCTTGGGGCTGCATCCCTGATTTCTGCTCCATCTTCACATGGCCTTCTCTCCTGTATCTCTCATATCTCCTTTTCCTTTCTCTTAAAAAGACACCAGTCACTAGCTTTAGGGTCCATCCTAAATCCTGGATGATCTCATTCTGAGATACTTAATCATATCAGCAAAGATCTTATTTTAAAATATGGTCACAGTCACAGATACTAGGGGTTAGGACTTAGACATGTATTTTTGGGAGACACTATTCACCCCACTGCAGGAGTCCTTCCTCTTTTCCTAAATTCTGAAATAAATTTACATTCGTTTGGAGTAATCTGTTCTTTTAATGTCTGGTAGGACTTGGCAGCAAAACTTTCTGGGCCTGGCCTTTTACTTTGTGGAAACACTTTTAAATACTGATAAAATTTATTTTAAGGTCTAGATTATTCAGGTTTTTAACTTTCTTCTTGTGTTTGATTTCTGGCAATTGTCCATACTTCCCTCTAACCTTTCAAGTTTATTGGCATAAAGTTGTTTACATCATCTTCTTTATAAAGTCTGGAGTATGTGCAATGACATTCTCTTTATTTCTAGTATTATTTATTTGTGCACTTTGTCTTTTTTTCTTACTCTTCCCAGAGGTATGATTAAAAAAACAAAAAACAAAAACTAAATACGACACTTTAAAATTCTTCCCAGCATACTTTTGTCTATTTCTCCTCATATGTTTATTACTTACTTCTACTTTTTTAGATTTATTCTTGTCCTTTTCTAACCTTGTAAGCTACAGGTTTAGCCAATATTTACACAAGTGTGTATGACAATACATTTTCTTCTCAGAAGTGTCATTTTAACTACATTCACAAGTTTTGACATACAATGTTTTTATTATCTTTCAGGTTTCTAACATCACTTTTACTTTCCCTTTGAATTTTTTATTTATCCATGAATTATTTAAATTTCTAAACTTTCAGAGCTTTTCCAATTACCTTTTTTATGTTGGTTCTAGTTAAACATACTGTGGTCAGAAACCAGGGGTCTGTATTATACCAATTTTACAACCTGTTGAGATCTACTTAAAGTTGCATCACAGGGTCAATTTTAACAAATGTTTGTGTCCAGCTGAAAAAACTATGTATACTCTACAGCTGCTGAGATCCATGTGGTATATGAAGCTATTAGATCAACTATGCTGTTGCTTTCGTATCCTTACAGAATACTTTTTAGCTTTATTCATTTATTAATTACTATGAAACACATGTTATCAGTAATAAAAAGATACATGTTAACAGTAATAAAAAAATAACATCATTAATGATGTTATTCAGGGATAAAACTTAGAATTATATCTAGGAAGATACAAAGTGAACTAAAACTCTATCACTACATGGTAGCCTCCTATCTCTAGGAATGATTTTTGCATTAATGACTATCTTATCTGTAACATATCTTCTCTAATTTTCCTTTCAGGTAGTATTTATTTACCGTATTTTTTCCATATTTTTATTTTAAACATTTCTCTATCCTCTTGTATCCTTACATTTATATATGTCTCTTACAAATAACATGGCACTGAATTTTAAAACTTATTATGATAACCTTCATTATATAACTATAATTCCGAATATATTTGGATTTACTTCTAATATCTTATAATTTGTATTTTTTCTCCTTTTTCTATGATTTTCTCTATTAATTGCCTTATCTGGATAGTTTATTCACTATATTTTTTCTAAATATAATGAACTAAACTTGGAGAGTTATACCTTATGCTTCTATTCTTTTAGGATTTATGTTATTTTAACCTGCAGACTTAACCTATTAGAGCTAAAAGCAACAAATCTCTTTCATTTCTCCAAAACATTTCAAGGAGCTTAAAAATGCTGAAATACAAAGATGCTACTCCCATTGTACCAGGTATATTATATATTTTTGTTCTGTTTTTCTAAACACAACAAACTTTGTCAATGCTCAGATTTACCCATATTTACACTTGGCTAACCATGTCTTCTGGCATCTTGAATTTCCTTTTGCCATCATTTTCCTTCTGCCTTTAAGCACACCCTTTAGGATTTCCTTTAAATACAGACTGCTGATACCAAATTCTGTTGGTTTCTCAAGTTCTTCTAAAAATACCTATTTTGCTCTCATTCTTGAAAGCTAACTTAAGGGTCTCTATAATTCTAGACTGAGAATAATTACTTGAACATGCTAAAGGGTGCTTGGTCAGGGCACTGAGTCTACTAAAATGCTGAAAGGAAAAGTGTCTAATCAGTTGCAACAATTAATTTATAGATAAGAGTAAAACAGAGCAGTATATTTTTGAAATTTCATGTCAAAGGAAAGCTACAGAAACTTCTCAGTTCTCAACATCGGGATCATGTCATGACTGCATTTTGTAAAAGAAAAGGGGAATCAAAGGAAACTTCAGATTTTGTAGAAAGGGGGAATAACCATCTCACTGTACTTACCATGCTGCTTAGATTTCTTTTTCTTTTTTTTCTTCTTCTTTTGTTTTGGTTTGTAGTGATCTTTGTCTCTCTTCTCTCTTCTTTCCTTATCCTTTTCTTTTCTCTTACCTAAAAGATATAAGTGAATACTTCAGCAATCATGACTGATCCTGAGCTGTTCCTTTGTGGTAAACCTAAAAGCAGTATTTATGTCTTAATCAGCTATTCCAGTCACCTGCCCAGAGTGGATGGGTTCAATTAAACTGTTCATGTCATGACTCTGGAAGTCCTGATAAGCTTATTGGACTATAAGAGGGGATCTTCAATAGCAGTGCTGAGAAATCCCAACTCCTGATACCTTAAAGTTAACACAGACAGTGGTTAAAACCTTTAAATGAGTAATATTCTCAATTTCCTGATGTGGCAAGAAGTTAAATTGCATAATTTATAAAGGACCTGAATGAAGAGACTCAGCATTTCCATATGTAATTTAATGAGAAAATATATCAGGAAATTAAAAAAAAAAAAAAAAAAAAAAAAAAAAAAAAAAAAAAAACTTGGACTTTTGTCTTTGGAAAGCTTTAAAAATAATTAAATCAACTCATAAAGAACTCCTCCAGTCTTTACATTCTCTGTGTGTTTAACAATGAAGGCTAAGAACATGAGAAAAAAATTTACATTTCACTAAACTAATCTTTCCCAAAACTGTAAAGCATTCTTTTCCCCAACCATATGTACTTAAAAAAAAATTAGAGCAGTACCCTATAACACTTCAAATTAAATCACCACATATATCCTACTATTGTTCCAACTCACAATGGTTTAGCGTATAATTTATCAAACGTATTTGACCAACTTTCAGTGATTCAAGCTCCAGTTAGCTAATCTACAGACTATATAAGACTATCATCCATTATTTCTTGACTTTTAGTCATTACAGCACAGAAAATAGAAAATAGAAAACTCAAAAACTTTTTTATAAAGTATATTGAAGAAGTATGAAAAAATTACTATTTTAATCTATCATCCATTCTCTAAAGTCTCAACAATATTAAATCGATGTCTATTTTTGAATAGCCATAATTTTGACTAGGGATGATCAAACACAAAAGTTTTCAGAGAAAGCCAAGAGACTCTCTTGACAAAAAAGTTACATATAAAACAAGATATGTGTTTAATAAATCACGCATCTGGAGCTGACTAACACTAGTAAGAACTAAAACAGATGATCACTTACACCTAAGGAGCATTAACAGGTAAAGAGTAAGGGGCAGACTATGTTCTCCCTCTCTGTCAAGCTTTATAGTCTTTTGCTTAAAGATTACTTTCTGTTCATACCAAATGCTGTTGAGCTTTTTTCTTCCAATTTCACTTTTTTTTCTGTTTTCGATACTCCTGTGGGTTAGGGGAAAAATATGTAAGTTTAATCAGAAAAAGTTAAAGTATGGGACGTTTTATATTACAATTGCTCATAAAACTATGTAAGACTCTTTGTCCTAACAGTCTGTATGTTTTACTGCCTCAACTGGTAACAAAGTAGTGAGATTTCTCACCTTAAAAAATAACCAAAACAATAAATTAAATGTGATTTTTGTTACTCAGACTACTTAGGTTCAACTCTTGTTTCCACTATTTACTAGCTATATCACCTTGAAAACATCATCTAATGCCTTTGTGCTTTAGTTTTCTCTTCCGTCAAATAGGAGTAAGTCTATATATCTCATGCAGTTATAAGGATTATGTGAGTCATAATATGTAATTTTTTTTCATTTTCTCTTTTGTAGTAGGGTGATAATTTAACACTACACTATTTCTAGAAATAGCATAAATATGGGTCTAACCATTAAGAAAAAGTTAACTGTATTAGGCTATCAGTAAAAGTCTACTCTAGCACCACAGCCTTTGGCAATCCAAAAGATGCTGAAATTCATCTGAGTAGTAAGTCCAGGTACCATTTCTACTTCTGTGACAGTTACAACATGAATGCTATTGGGATTATCCAAATGAAATACTAAATTCCATATTAAAGCATACTGGTTTTCAACAATCTGTACACGATTTTTAAACTGATATTTAAGGTCTTGTGCCTAAAACAACTTGTACCTTTGAATTCCATTATGAATACACTGTTAAGTAATGATAATAGCCAAAATAAAACTGTTCTGCAAACCACTTTTGTTCTATATATAAATGTAAAATACAAAGGCAAATTTATACATTAAAATATTCAATCTCAATAAATACCAATATAGGTATTAATAGTCTAAAATTCATTTTTAAACCAATATTGCACTTTAATTACTGTGCAGCTGACACAGGTACATTTAATCAATTCATATTCAACCATTCCCAATGCTAATATCTACTTGTGGCTAGTGTTAGTCTAAGAAAAATACTATAGTACATTTAAAATTCAATTTTAGTCTATTAAATTTGCTTTAATATCATCATTTACTAGTTCTTTAATTTTTAAAAATAATTCTACAACAGTATCAAAAAAGCTGACATTTCATTAATCTTACTTCAAATATTTCTATCATTTAAACATAACAAAAATATAAAAATACCACTCAAGTCAACTGCCAATAAGGCTCTAGTAAGTCAGTCTAAATGTAAGTAAGATCAAAAAAAAAAAAATCTAAATTAAGCCGGGCGCGGTGGCTCAAGCCTGTAATCCCAGCACTTTGGGAGGCCGAGGCGGGTGGATCACGAGGTCAAGAGATCGAGACCATCCTGGTCAACATGGTGAAACCCCGTCTCTACTAAAAATACTAAAAATTAGCTGGGCATGGTGGCATGTGCCTGTAATCCCAGCTACTCAGGAGGCTGAGGCAGGAGAATTGCCTGAACCCAGGAGGCGGAGGTTGCGGTGAGCCGAGATTGCGCCATTGCACTCCAGCCTGGGCAACAAGAGCGAAACTCCGTCTCAAAAAAAAAAAAAAAAAAAATGTAAATAAGAATATTGATAATCTCCATTTGTTATGACAGAAAATATGAAAGGGACATCACAGCAAAGAGAAATTTTCTTATTAGCAAGACTGTTGAACAAATACATCACTTCTTTCTATTTACTACTTACTGCACTATTAGAACTCCACAAATTTTACATAATTTCCTTAAAAACAATAAAGCATTTACAAAGCAAATCATGAGGAATGTGCTTTCCAAATCCTCAGTGGTAGTACAGACATATTGCTAACAGCGATCATTGCCTCTTAGGTGTTTACATCTCTGGAGCATTGCATTCTAGGGAAAAGGTACAGCAATGATGCTTAAAATCTGCTGGGGTGGGGATGGGGAGTCAGATTAAAGGAACTGCCTTACCAGGCTACCTTGACTGACTAGAATGTGCACCACCCTTAGGTACTTGGAAGACAAATGAAACAGTTATGAACCACTGCACCAGGAACAAAGAAGTTAACACAGCAGTAGAGATGCAGTCATTCCCAGAGTGGGTTCCAGAGAGCCAGTTCTAGATTTAGTTTTTCATGTTTTAGTGGTTCCCAAAGCATTCGATTTCATAAATGGTAAAATTTCAAAAGTAAAACTGGGGGACTCATAAAGGGTTGTCGATGTTTTTACTCAAGTAAAAATTTAAAATAAATATTCATACATGCAATGGCAGGACTTTAAAAAATACTTACATACAAATAGGAAAACAAAAGAGACCATTCCAGAAGTCAACAAGAAAAATACGTTTAGTTTTACAAGAAGTTCACTATCTTGTCTTTATTTTACTATGTACTAGAATTTGGTGACCAAGGTACCAGAACATTAGTTTGTAGAAGAGTAATTTTTAAACTAAATTTTAGCAACAGAACATTTTTTGAAAAATATTATCTGGCAACTGAATGCAAGAACAAAACCCAAAACATGAATGGAGCTACGCTAGTTAAAGTCACAGAGGCAGATGTCTGAACCATGCCTGCTTGCACACAATTTAAAAACTAGTAATATAGAGCAATTTCTCAAGCCTCTTCTGGTATGCTAAACATTACAGATTCTTCTGGCTAAAAAGAGAGGCAATCCCTGAGACTCTCCATGGAAACCCCAGGCTCTGTACAAGCCATGAACATTTGGTATGAGGGTGGAGGCAGATTACAGAGTCTCCAGTTGTAGTTTTGTTTTAAACAAATCTGGAAAATAAATTGAAAAACAATTTAAAACAAAAAGACTTTTAAAGAGTAAATGTAAAGTTGATGTGAGATGTTGGAATAAAAATGAAGGCCATTTCAAAACCTGCCACAGGCAGATTCATTAGAACTGACAACATGCTTTTTGGCCATACTAACTGAGACCAACCCGAAGACCTACTCCTGTTTTTCACTAGTGGTACGATAAAACGCATTACATTAACCAATCGATAATATAATTTATGGACACTCTACAGAAGATTCACTAAAAAGAGTCCAACTATCTTATCTATGATAATAAATCTACACATACGTATTTACTTATATCTGCATTTCATTTGAAAACTAAGATGACTTTGAATGGCACTGAAGCAAAGCCTAATGCATTTCATTGAATGCTACCCTAAAACTCAGAGGACCTGTTCACGGCCATCCTGATGAGGACATTACATAAAGCTACACTCTGCATGACCATGTCATGCCAGCATTCCTATCCATGCTAACTAAGACATGCTTCAATAAAACAGGTAAATGCTCTTTGATATTTACTAATTTACTAAAAAAAAAAAAATTAAAATGAAGATGTGTTACTAAAGGTATTTCTTTTAATACAAGAGTAACTAAATGACTCAAAATTATATTCATACAATCTACTAATGCCAATTTTGTCTTCACAGTGGTTACATACAATAAAAGTTATCGTCTCTAAAACTATCTTAAATTGAAGTTTTAAGCTGAAAATAATCCTACCATATATCATAATTTTTTGGAATAAACATAGACTCTTTATCAAATGCCTGATTAATGATAAATAAAACATCAACATTGTAGAGCCAAAAGTGACCACAGCCATCATCTACTATAATCTCATCATAAACCTATATGAAAAATTGAGTTTCAAGGAAGCAGGAAGACAAGGCAGATGGGTTGTCTCCAGACTTCTTAAGAGGCCCTACCAGAGGCCTCTTGGGACAATTTTTTCTTCCTTTAAACCCAAGAGTACTTTACACCTCTTCAGGAACTTCTATTTTGCATTTAATTATTTGTATTTCAGTTATTAGCTTTGTGTCCCATCTAGAATTTAAGTCTCCCGAAGGCAAATTCCGTATCTGTTCACGATGTGTTCCCTACCTAATTGTAGGTAGGGAGAATTGTGTGACAAGGGGTAACAGATAACTGGGCCCAAGAGGCCTGTGAGAACCTGAACCAAGAGTTTATTATTGAAAAGGCCACTTTTTTAAAAACTTGATTTACTCTATAAATACTAACAGATACTAACAAAATTAAGATTTCCTGAGGCTGTATCCTTTTCTAAAATTGGCTGGCTCTGTGAGAAAGCATCCTGATAATAAAATAAAAACAAAGGCATCAATTTTTACAAAGATACCAATTACCTCTTTGGTAATGTGGGTAGCAATAGCATTCTTAACAGTGGCTAGTCATGTGGGCATCCATCCCAGTAGAAGAACATAGAGAGATTATCTCAAGTTCATTGTCTCTACTGGAAAACAATCAGGAATAGTTGTATATAATAATTGGACCATTTGCAAATCTCATCAATCTGTTAGCGTTACTGCTAAACTCAGCAGCATGAATTTATCTTGCTCCTCAAAAAGTAAAAACCTAATCATGCCCAATGATTTCACAGTTAGCAACTAACATCTTCATCATTCTGAACTCCCCAGGAGTTTCAATTTGACAAAAATAACTCAGAAAATGTCTCTGACATAAACTGTAAAGAATATTTTCTATTGTAAGATTTAAAATTCAACAGTAACAAAATTTATTTTTATAATTAATATGGACACCAACCAAACATATGTGTATGTATGTGTGTGCATATATGTATGTATGTGTGTATACACACACACACACACACACACACACACACATATATATATAAATGAAACAAAAACATAAAAACCTGGCACTTTGTAGACATAAGAGGACTTGGGGAGCAGACAGAAGCATAACAAACACTGCAAAATGGTCAAGACAGGGTGAACAACAAAAGGATTAAGGAGAAAAGCATGGAGACCACTCAGAATTACAATGCAAGTGAGACAGCTGGTGGTCAGTTAGAAAATGACCTACATTCTACTGCTTTCCTCAAGAACTAAAAATTAAGAGGTCACAGAAACAAATTGGAATTTTACCTCACTCTATTCAAATACTGTGTTTATCCCTCTAATAAACCTGCAGTAATTAACAATTAAAACTATGCCTTTCCTTGCTACAAGCAATTAAAGTTGACAGCTACTATACTATTAAGCTCATCACACCCAGATAATCCTTACTCTTCCACAAACGAATCTACGAATTCATCATATTATAGCTATCTACCTTTTGCTAAGGTAGTCAGCCATATTGCCACAAATATGCTAGAAATTCTGAAAAGAGGAAGTTAATAATCTGGTTAGAAGCAAAATCATCTAAGTCAAGGACTTTCATGCACAATTACTACATTGATATTTTAGCACATATAATCTGTTAACATAAGATTCTTATTATACAGTTACTTACATTGGCCTGTATTTCAATATTGTTACTATTAGAGTATTTTTTAAGAAAAATGTAAATATTTTCACACGTACATCTGAAAACAATTTTCCTAATGAATATATAACATTATAACTTTAACATGTTTTTCATATATTCAGTACAGTAACAAATTCCAGATCATTAAAGAACTGAATAGGACCTTTATCAAAAAAGTATCTCAATGGGTCAATGATAATTCAGAAATCTTGTGGAAAAGTGGGAAAGAAAAATTAATTATCCTAAGGAAAGACTAAAAATCAAAAGACAATAGATTTGATTTGAGAAACTATAGGAAATGTTTCAAAATCTACAAATATTCAGATTTGGGAATTTTATTTTTTAAAATATGATAAAGAATTATCATGTACAAAGTAACTTCAACCTTTATATTAAGATAAAAATTAATAGAAATAAGTATATGACTCTTAAGTTACTTCAATCATTTTATTTCAATACATGCCATCACCAGATAAGAGTAAGGTTCATTTTATGCTTCATCCAAAAAACAGATAAAGTGGTTTCAGGAAGATGCCTGTAAACACAATGATCACCAACACCCTTGATAATGAATCAGCAAACGATGTTTTTCTCCAACTCAGAACTAACTAAATTCAGACTTCCTTCAAACAGCTAACTGCAAATAGTAATTTATCACAAGTGCATTTGTAACCAGTATTGGCCTTTTTTTATTATGTGTATTCTGAATGAGGTTATAATTCTTAAAAGCTTCTAAATAAAGCAATGCACCCACATAAAAGAAACATGAATTAATAATCCGTTAGATTTAAAATATCAGCTTAGTAAAATACATATCCAAATGCTTTTGAACTATAATAAATATCACAAAATCATGCAAAAATGTGTTATTAAGGATGGCTGATTTTACATACTGCACTCCTTAAATAACTGCCCCAGAATATAAAATTATATTTAAGATACAGGCAAATCGTTCAGTGTTTCTTAAATATTAAATTCTATTAAAATCCTTAAAACGAAATACTGATCCCATTAAGTATTTTCTGGCTTCAAGAGAATTCCTTTAATTATAATTGGGCTCTAATAATTTACATTTAGTAGAAATAAGGATATATAAAAAAGAAGCAGGGAGAAGAAAATAGATCAAGTGACAAGGTAAGAAGCATGTATGTCCAGGGAATATGATTATAAAATAATCACACAAAAGATCTGCAAAACAGATATAGAAGAAACTCTCCTATAAATGTTAAATTATTTATGAAAAATTATTTATAAAAAAAATAATTATTTATTATGTAGGAATCAAAATACTGTAGTTAAGCCTCAAAATATTTATACCTAACAACTGAAGCCTAGCTACTTATAAGAGCCTTTATTTTTATTTTTTTTCTTTTACCTGCTGCTGCTGGAGCTCCTCTTCCATCAGCTATTGCTTTGGAAGAAGGATTTGGAAGCATCTGTGTATCCTCTTTTTCTGCCCTTGCACATTCATTATGGTAAGAGGAATCTGAAGCTAGTGGTGCTGTAACTTCTGAACCACGACTTAAGTCAAGAGGGAGACAGGGTCCCAGCTTCTCAAGTGGCAAATGTGCAACATCAGGCACTACACAAAATAAAGAGTGTAATATAATATTAACACAGACAAAATGGCTCAGTTACTATCACTGTGAATTAAAGTGTTACATAAGTTAAACAGTGCCTGGCACAAAGAAGGCATCTGATAAATATTTGTAGAAGTGCTTTTAACTCCAGAAGATAAAAGAGCAGAAATTTCTTAATATTTTAAAAATCTATCTCTTAGTTTTTTTCTTTATCTTCTTTTATGTTTGGTTCTATAGGAAATCAATATACATTACCCTCTGGTACTGAAGATTCTTGCTGATTTTGAGAACTGATGGAGAATACTTTCCCATCAGTGGCTGGAGAGGGAGAAGAAACCTTTTCTACAGAATCATCAGGCATGGGTAAGGTGGCTAAACGCTGCGATCTTCTTCTCCGCTCACTATGCTTGAAAGGTCTAGGGGGATTCACAGGCTGTGGAGGACCTAGAAAAAGATCTTCAATGTTCACGAAGCAGATACATACCAGGATCATTTTAAAATTTTTAAGGAGATAAATGGGAAAAATGATTTATATTCTTCCCTCTGATGTTGTTATAAGATATCCACAAGGAATGACATGTTCCAAAGGTATCAAAGGCAAAAATTGTGCCCTCATTCACAAAATGAGTCAATCAAAAATTCTAAAATCTATACTCTAACTAAAAGAAAATAAAATGGAACATTAATTTCAAGTAGCTTCCCCAAGTGACAGACTACAGTTAATTTTTCTAACTGCAGATCGTTGTGTGAACTGCCATTTTCCTTCAGGAAAATACTCTCTTTACAGCAAAATATAAAGAAAAAATTATATATATGCCTTTTGCTACATTGCAAATCTAGAAATTCTAAGGGGAAAAAAAGGCAGGGGCATAGATGATATAACATTATAGAGTTAGTGCTTTACTTTACACTAATGTAAATAATTTTATCCCATTATCACCCCCCAAATGGAGTTTTACAAACATGTCTGGGCCTGATTCATTAAAAAAAAAAATAAACAAAAACAACTTTGTGTATTATTGTGAGCAAATGAGGAGTTTTAAGATTATGACACTGTGTAACTTACGTTTTTTAATAACATGGTGAGTAATTTAGGCATCTCCTAGCAATATAATATATTTGAAAATGTCTTTTACACTTTTATATATCTTCTTTCTACATGGCATATAAACACATTTGACAAGAATAGGCAAGATTATATATGCCAATATATTCATGTTAATTTAGAAAGAGGAAAAGTGGTCTAAAGAGATTGATGTTTGCGTATTTAAGAGTAATTTTACAATCAAAATGAAAATACATGGTGATAATTTAAAAATATGAAAGAATAAAATTTAATTGCTATAATATTGTGATTATAAAAAAAATAAGATAATTTCCAAAATAAAATGCTTATTAATGTCATATGACATTACAGTGACTACTACTGACGCTATTTCATGATAAATGTCAAAATGAAATTAAGCCTATTAGGAAAACAAATGAATTATGTTCCCATTCTTTCTACCTATTTATTAAAAAGAACAAAACAAAAAAGCAAAACCTGATCAAAATGAAAAAATGATTCAGCAGAAAATATGGCCACTGAAGGAAAATAGGTTAAATGTTTGATAAAAGTCTTCTGAATGTCAACATCTCTGATTACTCTGGAAGACACAATATGGAATAGTTCATAAGGAAACGTGTCATATTCATTCTCCGATCATGTATTTCACTTGTTGCATAAAGAGGGAAAAAAAAGCATCATTTACCTACTGACTTTTCAAATAACTGTTATTATGTCTCCAACTTAGAATACTAAACTAACCTGGGAAACGCTAGGTCAACACAAATCTTGTATTATTTATATACGTAGATATATAGACATACGTATTTATATAGATAGATACACCCACGTTGAAAGGTTATTTTGAAAAAGACTGCGTTAACTCTTGAAAAACTAGTAGTACTGAAACAGTAAAATCTTCAAAAATATATAATTTCAGAGGCATTCTTCTTTCATTAAAAAGATTAAGCTGAAGTCTAGACTATAAATACTATAATAAGAATGAATAGAATGTATTGCGGAGGGAAGTAATAGACAAGTGGGGACACAAAATCTACAAGAACAGTCTTAAGTAAAAATAGCTATCACGGTCTTTTCATAACTTGCTTTTTTTTTTTTTTTTTTTTTTTGTAATGAATCAGGCCTCTCAGTATGCTTGGATTATTAGTTGAGGAGAGTCAAACTACAGTAGAATCTGTGTTATTAAATGGTAAGGTATCTCAACCAGCAGTAGTCTTTAAGCAATAAATCAGTAAGAAATGTCTATGGTTTTTGCCCCTGAAATAGTTTCAAGCCTTTCCTATCATATCCACTTAAGTTTGAGTTTTTAAAAAAGTAACTTCATAAAAATACAATATAACTACAATCAAACTGTTTTTAATGTATCTTATAGGATAAAAAACTATTTTTTAAAAATCTGTGCTCACTAGTTTTATTTATCACTGAAGAAGAAAGCTGAGATACAAGCGTCAAATCCTCGACTTGTATTAATTCTGGGGAAAGTGGTGATTTAGGGGGTTTTATACACCCAGAAGAATCTCCAGATTCATGTTTGCATTTCTTGCTGCGAGCCTTCCCTGAAGACAAAGTTGAGGATAACAGTGCAGGTTTCTGAGTGTTGGCAGAACTGCTAATGTCAGCTTCATTTTTTTTCTGACTTTGAGGTTTAGGTGAAATCGCCTGAATAAATAATAAAAAATTGATATTTTTATTTTGGCTTCTTCATTTTTGTTCTTGTATTCTATTTTGATTGTTAAGCAACTTTAGTATCCAGAAACATTGTTAAGCAACATATAACATTTCTATTACAAATGAAAAACCAAAAAGAACCCCACAAATTATTAACTAAAAGTTGAATAGGCTATCTTTAAAGGAATGCTGTCAACTTTCAATCTAAATTCACTTTTTAAAATATATTACTCAAAATATTTTTAGAATATAAAATGTTATAGGACAAATATTTTCAGTATTAAACAGAAATACACCCCTTTAGGAACCATAATTGCCAGTGACAATAATTCGATAAACAAACAACATTTTCATGTTTTCAAGGACTAGAGGAATACATTTAAGCTTTCAACTTTAGATGTTTTCTTAAAAAATCATTTATTTTATTAAGTTGAATGTGGAGGTCTAAGTAGACAGTTTCCCTTTAAAGAAAGCTCTGAACAGGAAAACAATGACCAAATTAACAAAACATTATCTTTAACTCCTTTTAGTGCTGAAAGCTAGAGTTCATAAGCACAATGCATCATGAAATCAGAGCCACCAGCAATACAGAGTTAAAAGACTAAAAACAATACAAAACAAGCAACAAAAAAAACCAAAGAGATAAAGTGTAAGTTAAAAACATTGGATTTAAAAACAAAATACGTCGCATTCTTAGATGAGAGTTTTTACCTTCTTCCTGCCAACTGATACTTTTAAAAAAAAATTAGAACTTTGTCAGTTCTTTCATAAAAGAGTATTTTTATTCATTTGGCTGTAAAATTTCCTACATATGTTAAAATATGTGTGAATGTATCCATTTTTCAAAACAAGAGAAAATAGCTACACTGGATGGATTTGCAAACTATGGTGCTGAAATGCCTCTCTTTCTGATACACTTATCTGAGAGCAAAATATGTAATACACATTTTTTGAAAATCTCTTCTACCATAGGCCTTTATAAAAGAGTGAAACTGCTAGCACTATAAACAACATGCTTGTCCCCAAGATATCTTTTTACTTCTGTATCTTTTGGAGAATACCTATCAGGTCTACGGTCTGCAGTTCTCTGGAGTATGAAAGATCATTTTCTAGGGACCATATAAATAAACAATTCTGTTCCCACTGATACAAGTCAAATTTTGGTTAGGGAAAAAAAGTGCATATTTGGTATTAAGTAGAGCACCCTGAAAGCTCTACAGACAGCATGTTGGGCAAACCACATAAAAGGCCTGGTGTCAAGTGTCCCATTCATTCAGTTGTCATTTCTAGTATTGAATTTACTCATTACAAATGTGTTTAAGTGCAGGTTAATTATTTGAAAAGGTACTCCATAAACAGATAGTATTCCTAACCTTATCATAAAAGGTGTTGCCAGAAAAGTAATTAGAGCCATTACTTGTAAATAAACAATTTTATTGTTCATCTTCACATATGTGAAAGACATCACTACAGCATCCATTACTCTCAAGTTACAAAGTTATAAAACAAGGTTTTAAAACTTAAATTAATATCTTGATAAGGTGCTTAACTTCTAAACAAGGAAAAATTAACATTGTTTTTAAAACTTACTGAATTATTATGCATCTAATGCAAGTTTTATCCAAAAGTAAATATAACATGACATATCCCTAATACAATTAAATAATCTATAATTAATAAGCTAAGAATTGGGGTTCAAGACCACAGAGTTTGAATTTTTAAAAAATATAAATAAGTCCATTAGCACAGTAAGTTTTGACTACAGGCCTGTTATCAATCTATGTCATGAGTGACATTACTTTAACTCATTAGGAAACAGAGGTTAGTAACAATCGATACCTCTTCTTTAGGTCTATTGCTGATACCAATTGAGATGTAATTAAGAGCTTTATAACTCGGCTTTTTAACTATGAAGCAAGGCTAACACATAGGATAAAAATATGTTTGGTTACAAAACATTTTCACATTGAAATCAACTTGAATGACAAATAGAAAATGAGGGAATGGCATGGTTTTCCTTAAAATCTAAAATAATTTACAAGGTTTTCAATAATGGTTGTTGGTCTCTTTGTTACAAAACTGGCAAGGACTCTCAAAATTTTTTAATTATGAAAAGAGAAACAGCCGAGTTACACAATTTTCCTTTCTTTTTAGAAATTAAATTTCAAAGCGTGCTTTTCTATACTTCTCTCTAAAGTGGGTACTGCCCTCTACACTAACTCCCACATTTAATAAGTACTTTTCACAATCACATTCACCTCAGCAGGATTGTGCATAATCAAAGATTGACATTGTAATGAATTTTCCAGAAACATTTTATTACCCAAGTCCCTGATTTATCGCACTCTGAGAATACCATAAACAGTGGTGAAAATACAAAATACTGTATAACTGGGACGTTGAATATAGTAATACACAGTAAAAAAAAGTTATTTAAAATTTGGTTGATATATTGACAATAACGGCAAAGACTTAACCGTTTGATGATCACAGAAAATCAGAATATATGATTCAATGACATATTAATCAATTTAAAAGACCCATTGATTTCATACAACATTAATGGAGGCACCAAAACAACGCACTGTTATCAAATCAGGCCTAAAATAACCCTGAAAAACTCAATACAATATCAATTAAATTTGGAATATTTTTTTAAACGCATCTAGAGGAGAGCAAAAGATACTCATTCTAAAGTCTTCTTTATTAGGTTACTAATAAAGAAAAGTAATACAAAAAGGATATATTAAAACTACGTTAAGGCTCAGATTTTAAAACAGGAGAACCAAGGAAATCCAGTTATGGCTATTACTGTGTTCTTATAGTCTTACAGTGCCTAAGAAGTTAAGCCCTTAGAGAATGTAAAAGCATGCACAGTTCATTATGTACAAGTATTGTGGGAATCTGAAGGTAGCCAAGGCAAAATCTAGCAACTGCAACCTTCACTTTTAAATTCCTCTATTAGGTGGTTTAAAGACAGACCCTTAATAGTTTTTTAAACTCTCTTTTTTTGTAGTTATTAAAATATACATCCTAGCAAAAATGTATGGCTCATTGATCAATTCATAAAACACATAGTCAATCTAACAACACCAATTGTTACAATATAAAAGAAACTTCTTACAAAAGAAGCTTTATTAGATGTCAAAAAACCCTGTTTTAACTCACAAATGAAAAGTATTTGTGTAAGGGTCTTTTTGTAAGCTAGTTAAAGGTGATCCAGCTGGAAGCTTATACCCTGGGATGCCTGTCTCCAGACCTTCAAATTTTGGAGACAAAGGCTTTAATGCCAGTCTACTGAAATCAAACACTAATGAAGTCTGTAGTTATCTGTATATCTTGGAGAAGGCAGAATTAAAAATATATCATCAATTAATTAGCTTCCTATTCCCATATCTGATCAAAAGGGGAATTTCAATTACGTAGATACTAGAGCTCCGTCATCATTCCAGTGGGAACCTTGGAAAAAAATCAAATGCTACCATTTCATACCTGCTCCAGCATTGGAGCTGTTTCATTGTAGTCTTCCTTTTTTTCAGCACCATCCACCCCAACAGCTTTGGATGCCAACAAACCTTGAGAAAAATCGCACAGAAATTGCTTATTAGAAAAAAAAAAAATACTGATTTACACCCTAATTAACTTTTGAAAAATCTTAGCAGCTGAAACTTCCTATACTTTTTAATATATAGGATGTAAATAGTTTCAAAGGTTTTCTTTTCAAAACTACGAATATGCTTAATAATAAGCCAAGGGACTGAATCAGGACTGAAGAGTTGCTTACATAGTTGTGTGGGTTTTTGTTTAATGTTACTCAATGAAATCACTGAAAACACACAAATGCACACATATATTCTGTAAAAAGTTAAAATTCTATGTCTTAATGTCCATATTAAGACCGCTCAGGTTGCTAATAATTATAATACAGGTTTTGTCTACACAACTATAAAAACAGAGTTAAGACAGATGAAACCCTTCCAAACATCTAGAACATAAAATATGATTTTCTGTTGTTTTACTAGCTAAAAAAGCTACCAATTCTTAAGTTCACTTAGATCCTTTCAATCTAAGCTTTATGTGTGTCCAGTTGTACCTTATCTTCTTATAAGAGTTTAAACACAGATGGATCCATTTTATGCTAAGGGAATAAAAGTATGAGTCCTTCCTAGAACATCTGAACTTAGTATTATAGCTCATTTTGTCTATAAATGACAAAAATTTTTAGAAGTTCCAGTTTTCTTCAATGTATGTCACAATTCTCAAATTTAAAAAACAGAATAGGCCAGAAGTGGTGGCTCATGTATGTAATCGCAGCACCAAGGAAGGCTGAGGCGGGCGGATCACTTGAGGTCAGGAGTTCAAGACCGGCCTAGCCAACATGGTAAAACCCCATCTCCACCAAAAATACAAAAATTAGCCAGGCGTGCTGGGGGGCACCTGTAATCCAAGCTACCTGAAAGGCTGAGGAAAGAGAATCACTTAAATCCAGGGGGCAGAAGTTGCAGTGAGCCGAGATTGTGCCACTGAACTCCAGCAGGGGCAACAGAGCAAGACTCTGTCTTAAAACAAGAAAAATATATATTTTATTTAAATATATAACTGTATTATTAATTTACCAAAACATCGAAACTCTGCTTTAATAAAATATAGGCATTTACTTAGGTTAAAATTCCTTGCTAAGCCTGTCAGGTACCTTCAATTAAGTACAGTTTATAAGCCCAGAAAACGTATTTGGTTTTGTTTAAGGCCACCAAAATACTATTGAAATAAAACCCATTTCTGTGTCATTTCAAAGTTGTCAGGTACCTTCAATGAAGTCCAGTTTATAAGCCTAGAACAAGTATTCAGTTTTGTTTAAGGCCACCCTGCTCATAAAAGGCCACCAAAAATCATATTTGTGCCATTTCAAAGTTGGCCACATAAAGACTTTGCTCCAAAAAAAGCATGTTTAACAACTGACAACTTAATAGTAAACTGACTACAGCAATTATACTACATACATTACAGAAGCTGTCCACAATATGTTTAATAGAAGAAAAATGGTTCCCCATCAAATGTGGTATGACATAGAGCTATCCATGAGGCAACATGCCTTGACTTTATCAGGTTACTACCTTAAAGAAGTGAAGTGATCTAGGTGGGAATTCACACATTAAAATTGTATTCTTGGGCCCAGCACAGCGGCTCATGCCTGTAATCCCAGAACTTTAAGAGGCTGAGGCAGAAGGATACGAGGTCAGGAGTGCGAGACCAGTCTGGCCAACACGGTTAAACCCCATCTCTACTAAAAATACAAAAATTAGTTGGGTGTGGTGGCACACACCTGTAATCCCAGTTACTCAGGAGACTGAGGCACGAGAATCGCTTGAACCTGGAAGGTAGAGGTTGCAGTGAGCCGAGATGGCACCACTGCACTCCATCCTGGGGGACAGAGTGAGACTTTTCTAAATAAATAAACAAATTAAATTCTTAAAGTAGTACTTGAGTCAAATTCCAAATTAGGCAAAAGGTATCTTTCCTTTATTGGAAGGTGAATACCTAGTACTCAGATTATACTTTAAAATAAAAAAGGCTAAGTGTAAGACAATGAGTTTGATACATCTATGATTAGTATTAAAACTGGTATCTAAGATCAGGTGCAGTGGCTCATGCCTGTAATTGTAGCAGTTTGAGAGCCCAGGAGTTTGAGACCAGCATGGGCAACATAGCAAGACCCTGTCTCTAGATTAAAAAATAAATAGAAAACAACAATAACAACAACAACAAAAAAAACCCTGGTATTTGTCCCAATTTGAGATTTAAAAAAAAACCAAACCTACACAGTTTGCTCCAGTCTCATACCATATCAACTGTATATAAACAATTTTACAAAAACAGTTTCAATTCTAATTATATTCTGAACATATTTTTACATTACTGAAAAAGACACAGTACTGAATATTTGTCTAAGATTTAAAGCCACACTCACTAGGTTTTTATTCTCCAGCTAATATTTTTAAGGATCAATAAACTATTGAAATAAAAATAATTAGAAAATCAAGTTCTTATTTTGCAGGAAACTGAGTAGAAGTTCTATTTCTAAGGACTATTCAAACAGGACAAATTTTGCTATTCAACATATTATACATACTCTATTTTGTTTCCTTTCATAGAGGTGGTAGAAATAGTTTTTAATACTCAATAGATGAAAACAGATCACAAACTGAAAATGGGTACCACAAGTATTGAAAGAAACAAAGTAATTCACCCATAACCTACAGATTTATATTAGGAAATTATAGACCCAGTTTATTAAAATCCATTTCCATTAATGGTTTGAGAAGGAAAAATAAAGTGCTGTAATGTGTTCATAAAAAGTAATGAGATTTAAGAAAAACCTACTTAAAATTAGATTTTAAAATGCATACTTGGTTATCCAGAGAATTTAAAAGCCCAAGTATGATTAATAAAGTCTTTTTTATGCTTTACATACACACCAACTTACAAAATAGCTATTAAATATAAACAACAAAATGGAACAAATAATAAAATAGGTACTTGAGAGAATTCTGACTACTTCTGCCTTAAGAGGCAGTCCAAAATCTATTACGTTGACCTGCTAATATTCCAGGAAGAAACGCAATATCCATAGAAAATGAGAAAAATGAGAAGAATTAATTGAAAGGAAATTATCAGCAAGTACCTATTAATTATCAATATATTAATAATAGGCCCTCTTCTAGAAGAATACGCCTATGGGATAAATTGCCCCATAAGAATGCATTATGATGCTTCAAGAAATTATTTAGAAATTAGGTAAAAGAAGAATATCAAATAGTCATTAGTTCCATCCACCAACAAAGTCACAACTTTCCAGTATTCTATATTAGCTAGAAAATACACAGTTGGTCTCTTCCTGCCAATAGGACTAAGTAGAACAGAGGCTAGAGCTCCCTAGAATGGCAAAGGGGAACAAAGAAAGAGTGAAGTGATTAAATTAGTGGTCTACTTTTCATCCTGATATTTCAAAACACAGTCCTCTTGCTGGGACTAAGAATCAAATATTCTTGATATTATTATCAATAATATACTACCGGTCAATTCAAACTTCAGGATTTAAAAAATTTTTTAAATTCTTAAGTTACAGAAACACACCTGAGCTGGCTGAAATTCCAGGCACTCTTAGAACCTATTAGAAACAGACCATGCAGCACCAACTGCTGATGTTTTTTCCTTTACTCCCTAGACAATCTGCAGTTTTAGGTCTACTCATTTTCAATTTGTTTGCAACTTTGTTCCAAAACTACTAATTTTCTATGTAAAATTGTTTATTGCAAATCAGTATATATTAGTCATATATGATAACAGCTATCAATAAGGTACATTACATAATGAAAAATATGAACCTGGAAGTGTGTGTGTGTGTATATATATTGTACAGCATATGGAACATGTATATATGTGAAATAGGTATATGTGTATATATGTATATACATATATACACATCCCATATACTATACAACTGTATTTTCAATGTCTACCTATTTGGAATCTTTAAAAAAAAGTCATCCTTTTATGAGTCTCTATACAGAAATCGAGTTTAAAATCATCGCATGGTATGTATGTGGCAAAGTGAATTGAAAAAATGATAAACACATGACTTAAAGTTTTCCAATGGCTGGTACACTTATTTAAGCTAGAACTCTTTAAAAAAAAAAAAAAAAAAAATAGAGGAGAGAAATACATCACAGCAGGCTGCCATGATCCCAGCCTCAATCCTCTCAGTAGTAAAAGGACAAAAAGACACATACAGATGAGCTTGATAAATTTAAAATATACCATAATGCCATAGGAAAATTATTTTTTGTATTAGTTCTCATTTATCTTTATAAACTATAAATGAATTTACTGTTAAAAGGCAAGCCTGAATTTCAACTATTGAAGGCGATCTCACAATATCTATCATCTTTTTGCATGACATAGTTGCAACATGAAATCAGAAATAGATGTAGAAAGATGAACTATTAAAAAGATTACAACACACTTAGATTTTCTAAGTAAATAAAAAGAAAAAATCATAATGGCTTCACATTCATAAAATCTTATGCTTTGCTGCTGCTGTCAAACTATAACCTATTCATTTGAGACTCCTGAGGGAAAATGAAGAGAAAATCCCTCCACGGAAGGAAAGGGTGTTACTAAGCAACCAGTATTTTAAACTTGAAGCACATGGCAAAATGGTACTTTTTTCCCTTCCCTACTGTCTTTTCAAGGCCATGGAGAAATAATGCACCATTGCGGGCTCAGCTGAGTTTTTCTGTTATGGCTTTTTGGTTTTTTCACTTCTTTAAACGTTGAGCTTGAATCTCCCAGTAAGGCATATGTAACACTATATTGACTGAAACTATTAAAAGCAGATTATCCAAATTGAAGGGAAAAAAAATGAAGCTGGAAAGCTGGCAGCTGTATCCTGTCAGTGTCACCTCCGTCTTCTTTGATCTTGACTCCTCCAATAGTGCTGTTTCAATCTTTGCATCACAGGAGTTAGAAATACTATTCCACTTCTGCCCAGTACATAGCAGTGGGTTCCACATTTTAAGGCAAAACTGAAGTCTCATGCCATAAGAACGATCACTTAGAGAACATGTGGCTTTCTCCAAGGTTAATAGTTTACAAGGAAAATGTGTAACAGGTTAACTGATTTAAAATATTTCCTGTTCTGGAGCCAAATATATCCTTTATCAGAGACAGGCATGAAAATAATATATACAAATGGAAAGAGACTAAATATTCTCACCTGCTGAAACCAATTATTATCACTTAGACGAAAAATATAAATAAAATGGTTGGTCTAAACAACCCTCAGCTCCAGAGTCATCTTTCAGTTGGCTTCCTCTCCTCAGAAAATGGTCAAAATGTTTAGTTTACATTTATTCCTAAAATCTGACCATGAAATCAAGTTTCTTCAAGTTTAAATGAATGCCAACAAAGGTTTACACAGCTTTATTAGGCCAAAGGCACTAAAAAAAGGTATGTCCTTATAATAAGAACATATGACTAAATCATGAAGATATTTAAACTCTACTTTTAACATATACTCAGAAAAAGTAAATATGTTCACTATTTCTTTTGAAGACTAGAATCCCTAGGCTGAACAGACCATGGACATGGCAGGATGCAGTATGACTGGCCCCAATTCTAATTCCTCAATCCCCTCTTCCATGAACACTAACTAGGCTAAAATTTTCTAATAGCCTAACACTGCTATTTCCTAAACTACAGGAAAGCATATGGAAATAAGCCCAGATTCTAGAGACTAACCTGAAGAATAGAAATTTAAAAAAAAAAAAAAAAAAAAACTTATAAAAATACTTTTATATCAAAAATTCAGAAATTAACAGATTCAGGAAATAAATATAAGTCATTTTCCAACTATATATGGTACCCTCCTTAAATAAAACTGGTTAATTATAAGAATGTATGAAAAAATTTAGAACCTCAAGCACTCTGTTACCTTAAGTTGACAAAGTAAGAATTCTTCTAGAAACTACTACTACCACCAATATAATTTAAAAATGACTGAGCTTTGTAGTATTTGTCCTTATCAACCCTCACAACATCCCTGTGAGGTAGGTAGAAGATATGTGATATTTTTCACATTTTACATCAGAAAAAGCTGACAGTGTTGAAAGACATTGACCTTGAAAGACATTGACCTTGTCTTTGTTATTAACATGGTCCATGATACTAAACCAAAAGATGCATTTTACTTTATTAAAAACAAATTACTCTGAAATTAAAAACATTCCATTTCCGCCCCCCCGCAAAAAAAATCATTGTCGTTTACCAGTAATCTTGTTAAGGCGAGCTCTCTTTGCCTGAAATGAGTTGCCTTGATTATTTTTCCTCTTGTTTGATAATGTGCTCTCTGGCTGTGGAAAGATCATCTTTGGAACGTTCTCTACATGAAGTCCTACTTTTAATAGAACACATATATGAGAGTTTATCTAGAATCCAAAATTAAAACACATGATTTTTTAATAGCAAAACAGTAACAATACTTTGCACATTAGTTTAATCTACTTCTTGATAAAGATCTTTGAAAACCACAAATCCCTCCAGATTAATATATTAGAATAAAAAGACTACTAAAGCAGTTATTCTTAAAGAAAAGCAGGAAGAAAATGACTTACTGCTTTTTCCATATTACATATTGAAACATACATAGAAGCATTTAAAGGTTGAAGAAAAAACATAAAAGAAAAAATCTCAAACAAAAATCTGCTACCAAGAAGTTACAAATCAAAATCTCAACCTATTTCTATTCAAGAATGCTGAGGGCATCCAGCATCAAGTAACCCATACTACACTATTAATTTTCAGGTCTATCTGCAAGATGCTAAAAAAGTTAGCCATTATACTTTACTAGGGAAAAAAGCCTAAAAATTTAATTATATATTCAAAATCAAAGGAAGCCAAGGGATTTGACTTGTTCACTAATGAGTTTACCAGTGTCATAAAGAATTAACATTAAGAATGTATTTTGTACCAAATGTTTCACTAGATGTAGGCAGATCTTCCTTCTTCTCTACGTCTGGTGTGGCTATGCAAGTTGAAGTTTCTTCCTTCTTTGAAGGTACTTTAAACCACTTTCTCTCATCTTTATCCTTATCTTTATTGCTGTTGGCGCTGGTTCGGGGTTTACTCCCTGTTTTGTTCTTGGCTGCAGCTGCAGCAGCTGCTTTGACTAAAGCTATCCAATCCTCCAAAGGAAAAACACAAAACGTTAAGTATTAAACATGAATTAAAATGTAATTACACTTATAAAAACGTGTCACATTTTCAAAGCTACTTTCACATGTAACCACACAAACACAGAGATAACAATATTTACATGATAGCTCATCAACATGGTAGGTTATCAAATTTAATAATCAAATGGTTAGATTGTATAACCTCTCATAAAATAGCAGAGGAAACCTATGGCAGATAAGGAATACTACATGACATTCTACCTTAGTATTTTAGGGCTTAAATGTTGCATTCCATCACTTTTCCATAATACAAAGGACTAGAAAAGAAGAGAAAAATGCTATCTTGAATAGTCTAAAAAGATTAAAAATAGTGTACTCTCACCTACCAAAATTACTATACCTTATTAGGACAAAGGTACCATGCAAATTACAATCTCATAGAAATCAAGAAAGGTGCGCCTTTTATTATTTTCTAAAGCTACTGAAATTCAGATAGCAATTCATCACAACAGCTTAATAATACTGATGAAGAAGAAAAGAGCTCCACCGACCAAGGTAAAGCAGAACTCCACATTAATTTCTCTTCCTATACAACATCCTAGGTCTCTGTTTGGTACCACTCTTCTGAGATGCAAGTATTTATTTTTCCTGTGTTAATTTAGTTTGTTGCTAAATATATTTTACTATTATATTTTTAACTAAAAATGCTTATTATAAAAAATATAAAAAGATGTAAACAAGCATACAGTGGTCCTAACATTTTAATATTTTCACAAGCAAAATGTTGTTTTTAAAACAAATATAAATATCTCTGCAGAGTCAATCTGCTGAGGCCACTAAGCTGTGTCAAATAGACTACTAATTCAGATTCCCTCAAAATACATTAAATCCCTAGTCCAAGCAACTAAAAATTTCACAACATCAAATGAATGTAACTCATGGTTTACATTAATATAAGCAAAACAGGTAAACAAAATTAAGCAATGAACAATGTAGGTTAACACTGCCTTAAAAATATATGGTGAAAATAAAAGCCATTTTAAAAAATCTGTATTTCTAACTCTCGCTCATGATTGAAATTAACTGAAAACATCATGTGATTGCACTAAACACATTAAATCACCAATTTCTTTTTTTTTTTTTTTTTCCTGAGACAGAGTCTCACTCTGTCACCCAGGCTAGAGTGCAGTGGCACGATCTAGCTCACTACAACCTTTATCTCCTGGGTTCAGGTAATTCTCCTGCCTCAGCTCCTTGAGTAGCTGAGATTATACCCTGTCCTATATGCCAGGTACAGGCTAAGAATTCAGGAGACCGCAATCGTTAAAATGCTGGTCCTGTCCATAAGGAATTCACAGATAAATAAAATTAGCTACAAGCCAACGTGACAGGATAGGTACTAGAGTAGTAAACAAAATACTATAGGAGAACAGAAAAGATTGATTTTTGACTGAAGAGAAAGACAAGTGGAAAATGATAGATGAACCAAACCCAAAAGGTAAGTAGAAATTTGCTAGGGATGGGGTAGTGGCAAAGGGGAAAAGGTTACTCCAAGCAAAAGGAAAAACATTAAACAAAGACAAAAAGTAAAAGTGTACAGAAAAGTGAAAGGGATGGAAGATTCAAGGAGCAATACGGGTAGCTAAGAGCAGTATGGCCAAATTGAGCTTTGAGACTAACATTTAAGCAATGAGAAAAGAAGTCACCATCAATGAAAAAAAAAAGGATTGAGAGACAACAATCAACAAAATGGAAGAGAAACAAGAGTACGTACAATCAGACAAACAAAAGGAAAGTAAAGTGTGATATGCCACAGACATCATATGTTTGCAGATCTATTAAGAGCAGAGCATTAAATTCTGGGTTCCACATTGTGGGGAAAATTTTAACTTGTTAGAATTGCTGGAAAACGTCAGAAGCAGTTTCCATCCCAAGTTGTTTTCTACCTCTAATAAAGAGAAAACTAAAAAGAGAATCATACCACATCTTTTAAAATTTAAACGTGTTTTAAAAGTGCTTTTTAATCATATGACTTGTATGGGAATCACTGTCGCTGTGTGATTAAAGAACTCTCCCATTGTTTTTCTCTTTTATTTTTATGTTATTTTGTGTTTGCTTTCATGTTTATTTATGCAAATTTATGGGATACATGTGAAATTCTGTTACATGTGTATAACTAGCAGTGATCAAGTCAGTGTATTCAGGGTGTCCATCACCCAAATATAATACAGTTTTATTAACCACAGTCACTCTACTCTGCTATCAAACACCGAATTTACTCCTTCTACAGAAAAGCTTCATTGTCAAAAATAACTGAAGTGTGATCTTTTCATGAACTATAACTAATAATGATATGTTTCCAAGAGCTTTGTAGATAAAAAGGTATTGCACTAAAAAGGGCACTGTGTTTGGAATCAGAAACTCTGGGTTAAAGGAATCACTTTGCTCAGAATGACTGAGTAAAATTTTAAGTCAGTCACTTAATCCTCCAACATCTGAATTCTTCAAATGTGAAACAGAAATATTAGCCATATCTATGTCAAAGGATCTACTAAAAGACTCCAATGAAACAATACAGAAAAAAATGTGTTATAAATATTAATAGCAAAGGACCTATGAGCCAACCGTTAACACTTGTGAATTACAACATAAATTCTGCATCAGCACACCCTCAGGAAAAAAAAAATCGAGAGAAAAAGCAAATACTTCTGTTACAAGCCTCTATATTAAAAATATAATGGCTCAATCTCTCACCCTGTAATTACTACTGCTCTTATTAGGGTAGAAAAGAACAAGAAAGTATCTCATAAGATGAAGGAATCAATCCTCATCCTATGATGTATGTCAGTTTCATAGCTATTTATGTATCAACACTACCATTCCACACAAAATTATATGGAAGAAGAAAAGAGGGGATCTTATTTTGGGCTGTTAATGTGTCTACCATTATTCAGTGAGAAAAATGTCTACAGACACCGTGTTAGAAGGACTATATCGTATTCACTGTAATATTAAAAGCTCCTTAAGGTGCTCAAGCTAACCTCTTAATAATGCAAGCAGCAGTTTGTCCAGCATTAACCAACTAGTTCAAAGTAAAAAACAACAGCATTAAGACTTATTTAGGCTTAAGAGTTTAATTAATCTAGAGGTTTGCACATATAAAAGTGTTATTAATGTCACATTTTATACAGGTTCTACAGAAAGTTTAAGAAAGAGCATTTCCAGAGTGCATTAATTTGATGCACTATTCTTTGCTAGCTCAATTTAAAAACTATAAAGAAATTCTCAATGTACTCAAAATCTAGAAGATAGCAAGATAGGCCACCCCTTAGCTTTGGCCAAATAACACCTGATTTGGCATATTTCCTTAATGAAGGCAAGTCAAAAGCTTGCTAGGAAAAAGCAACTCATAAAATGGGAGTCATTTATAAAACGCAATGCTACAAATATTGTTAATGTTGTTGTAATTAAGAATTATAAAGAAAAAATGAAAAATTAAAAGAAATATACTACTATCTAAATATTATTTCAGTAGTTTTCTATCTTGGCACTGATCTTAATGTTATAATACCTCATAGTGTGTCTAAGGAATCACTACTTATTAAAAACAAACATCCATAATATCCAATAAATTTAATTTTTACAACCTGTAATTTTATGACAAACCAATTGGCTCAGTGTCCCACTTTAAAAAAAGAAAGTTTTTTTTTTTTTTTTTGAGACGGAGTTTCGCTCGTTACCCAGGTTGTAGTGCAATGGCATGATCTCGGCTCACCGCAACCTCCACCTCCTGGGTTCAGGCAATTCTCCTGCCTCAGCCTCCTGAGTAGCTGGGATTACAGGCACGCACCACCATGCCAAGCTATTTTTTTGTATTTTTAGTAGAGATGGGGTTTCACTATGTTGACCAGGATGGTCTCGATCCCTTGACCTCGTGATCCACCCGCCTCGGCCTCCCAAAGTGCTGGAATTACAGGCGTGAGCCACCGCGCCCGGCCCAAAAAAAGAAAGTTTTAAGGCAATAATACTGATGTCATTTCATGAGCATCTGATCAACCAGAATAACAAAATAATTGTTTTAAAGCAAAAAAAAAAAAAAATTGAGACTTTTGTTTAAGCAGGTATATATTAAACAATGTTCCCAACATTTTAATCAATCTATGTAGTAACCAAGAAATCACACCACTGAATGCTTAAAAGAACACTTTATTTATGTATACATGTGGGAACACACAAAGCCACTTCCTGATCAAAAGGATTTTCATTTTAAATTGCATTTACATGTTAATTAGAGGAAATCTGCTTGCTAATCATTTCATAATTAAATTTTTGAAAACCAGGTAATTCAAAACAATCGCACATGTTTCTTCATAATTTTTTTAATGTGTTGGATATACATTTCTAGAGCATTAAACATTTACACTTGACTGAAGTTGACCAGGTAATTTCAACACATTTCAGAATGACAGTTTTCACTGCATGGTTGGAACAAATATGCAGCATATTTCCATATTAGACATTTTCACAGACTACTTTCAATTTCTTAAAAATAATTGTAGGTCCAGGTGCTGAAAATCCCAAATAACAGCAGAAATATAAAGGAAAATATTTTAAATTTCTAATGGCACCTTTCTTTCCAGTATTTCAGAAAACACAGCCAACAAATGGAATTGTGGTTTTACCTCCACCCAAGATTCTCCTTCCAATGCTTACCGTCCATTCTTGCTTTGAGCAGTGACAAAGCATACAATACACTGCTTCCACCATATGACTCAGAAGCCCTACCTGAAACAGCCTACAGAGTGTCAGGTAAGCGCCTTTTAAAGGAAAATGAATGACTATGATTTGCAGAAGGAAAGAAGAAGATAAGAACTCAATGTAAAATTTTATATTAAAAATTTTTTAACTTTCTAAATGACATTATATACCAGGAAAAACAAAACAAAATTTTTTTTAAAAAGGCACTTACCTCACTTCCCATAGACTGGTTACACGATCCAGCTGGGTCGATAGGACAACACCAGCTTAGTGGATGCTGGGATTTCACCTGGAACAGAAACTAGTGACCTATAACTTTAGCAGGTCTAAAACCAAAGAAGCAAAAATCAAGTGTATAATTTTTTTTACAGTCTAAGCTCCTTTTTCTTGCTGCTATTTGGGGCTATCAGCACATAACCCTACAATTAGTTCATATAAAAATATATCTATGTATAAATATATTTTGATCAATCATTGTTCAAGAAGATATCCCTTTGGGTAGCCAGGAATACTGAACATTCTTACCTGCCCCTTAGCATCCTCGGGCATGGCTTTAATGTGCATTCTTTTTAAACAACGAATTACTCCATCATAAAACTGAACTGTAAATGTTCCTGAAACAGGAGCAAGTCAGAATCATTAGAAAATATAATTCAATTTTATAGCAACACTTGAAACCTAACAAGTAATGATCTACATAAATAAATGCTTTGGAATGCAAAACTACAAACATATTCTCCTGTTAAGGACTCCATCAAGTTTAAGTTTACTTTCTCCCTCCCTCTAGAAACAACTCTGAATTCCTGTTTCCCTTCAAAAGTACACAAATTAAACCTTGATAAGTGAGTTCCATGTAAATCTGATTTTTACTAAGGAATCTGATCATTTATTTTGCAATATTTCAAATGCTTAGACTCATAACATAGCTGACAAAAGTAAAAATTATTACTTACAAAAATATATACTATTTCCATAGGAATTACCATTTGCTCTTTGAATGTTTCTTTCAAAAGAAGTAATACAGAGAAGGAGCTGATATACAAAAAAAGATCATTTGCCCTGAAAAGAATTATTCCTTGGGCACTAATAACAAACTGAAAGAATTATAGATTTCCAGATATTAAAGCTAGAAAATACTTTACAAATCGTCTAGATAAAAGTCCTCATATGTAGCTCAGAACACTGAACTCTAGAGGAAGGCTCAGTGCTACACACAATGGCATTCACCTAAGTGACAGCGCAGCCATAACCAATACTTCCAGTCTCATCTAGTCATCCATGTCTTTCCTACAAATTCATCCTACTTTAAGGACTCAAGATTTTGTCTATTATGAAGCATATTCACTTTTTGTTACAGACCCTATGCTTTCAAGTCAATATAAGTCAGTATTATTAGAAGATATAAATTATGTATAATGTTCTACTTAAGGAAATTCAAAGGTTTTTCTGTCATTTCCTAGATAAAAGTTCTTCTACCATCTCCCAAATGAAGGCAGAGTCCCGCTTTAAGTAAACAGATACTTGGCTTTTATAAAATAATTATAAACAAGAAATGTGACAATCATTACTAATGTCTTTGGAGTTGGCACCAAAGACAGTCATATATATGTGCAAAGAATTTTTTTTTGTACTTTGAATAATACCATTTGATTTTGCATCTTTCTATAATCAGCATAATGTTGAATTTCACAGATATTAACATCTAAATTCAAGTTATGCAAACAATGGATTAGGTAATTAGCAAGGACGTAAAGACCTGGAAATATTTTGAGAATGCCAAACTCTATGTACACCTTGCACTCCCCTCTTCCCTGCAACTTTCCATCTTCCTTCTTCAATACAGCGTTCTAGAAAAACTCAGCACGCACACCAGACCATATGGGCATTAATACCTGTCTGCCTTTGCTTGTGCTGTTTCTTCTGTTGTGATGCCTTTCTCCTTTCCTTATGTCTATCTACACCCAAGTCCACTCTTCAAGGACCATCCCCAAGATGAAAACTTTCCCGATGACTCCAGTACACAGACTGGCCCCTTTTCTTCACTTCTATATGCTGTATTATAAATGCCTAAAAGTTGACAATTGTTCATTTTGTTTTGCTCTTACACTGAATGGATGGCTTCTTTTGCCCTTCTGATTTTTGTCAAGGTGGGGAGGGGGCAGGCATATCCACCATGTGGGGCATAAAGAGATCACAAAATTAATACCTTTCAGAAAACAAATAGTATCTGCCAATATTTCACTGAAACTACTCTTGAAATGGCAGGGATCACAATCAGTATCATCACTCCTCCACTAAAATAAGCTGAATTTTCTATACTAAATGCCTGTAGATGAAAGGGATAGGATAAAGAATGACAGTGGTTTTGTTCTGAGTGTGTGTGGTGTGTGTGTACTTGCATCTGCACACACACAGGAACTTTAAGCATGGGAGGAAGGTCCCAAAGCTCTTAGAAACTGTTACCAATTAATGTAGAAGGCAATGACTGTTTAATTTTACTTCGTTTGGGGTACCTCCTATTATCCAACAAAATAGATTTTACTTCTTCCTTTACTTCCACAAATTGTTACTGACTGTCTACCGTGTGCGAGGCTCTGGACTAGACACTCAGGAGCCAATGCGAGTAAGACTTGGGAATGTAAGCTCCATAACACAGCTCCACAGAAGTGTAAGTGCACAGGGAAACGCAGGCCCCACTAGAAAAGGAGAAATAGCCTGCACACCTAACAACTGAGATTTCTCTTACATCTTTCTGTAGGAGTAACCAGTAGTAAGAAAACCATAGCCATACTCATGGTTTCAATTCATTAAAACAATACATAGGATAAAGGTCTTTATAAAGTTCTATCATAATTTCTAGCTAGACTACCATGACTTATTTTTTCACACCTAATGTTCCTTAATATATCTCTGTTTTCCTCTTCTATCTTCTCTTAGCTTCTATTTTCTCTCAAGTTTGTTGTTAAATCCTCAGCTTAAATCTCTTCCATGGTACCCAACACCTCCAAATAAAATTCAAATTCTTCAGCAAGATTACATGACACTTCATATACCAATATTTGCCTCTCTCTCCAACCTGTACTCCAGCTATTCTATCACCTGGTAAAGGAATCCACCATTCTAAACAACCTGCGGTTCCTTAAAATGAGATGGCATGCCTCTCCCACTTCTATTATTTTCCATAGATTTCTTCCACCAAAAAAGCCCTCTGATTGCTTCTTTAGCTAACTTAGTTGTCTTTCAAGACTCAGTTTAAAGGAAATGTCCCCTTACTTAGATCAAATGCCCTTCTTGCCAAGAAGCTGTCACTCAATGTTTGTTTCTTTAGTAATAACAATGAATAGAGAAATCCCCCTTATCCGCGATTTCACTTTCCACAGTTGCAGTCAACCGCGGTCTGAAAAGGAGTGAGTACAGCACAGTAAGATATTTTGCAAGAGAGAGGTGAGGGAGAGAGGAAGGAAGAAAGAGAGACCACATTCACAAAACTTTTATTACAATATATTGTTGATTATTCTATTTTATTATTAGTTATTGTTGTTAACCTCTTACTATGCCTAATTTATAAATTAAACTTCATTGTTCATATACATGTACAGTATAGGGAAACACACAGTATATATAGAGTTCAGTAGTTTCCAAAGTTTCAGGTAACCACTTGGGGTCTTGGGATGTAGCCTCTGTGGATAAGGGAGGACTATTATAAGTGGTCAATTTAACAAATAACTGTAGTAGAAAATTATTGTATTACTGACTTAAAAAAAATACTTGCAAGTATTCCATAACTTTTTAAATGAGATATTTAAAAAAATATATTCAGGTATATTTTCAATAATAATTTAATTATTAATTCTCACAGCTTTCCAAATTAATCAGCATATGTATTATGTTTTAAATTAATTATCTGTCCAATAGATTTCCTAGTCTTATGCAACACTAACACACCTAATTTCTGTGTTACTTTCAGCATTTTTGATTACTTAAGTAATTTTGGCTCAGTATCTAATATTCTAAAAAATGTGCACAAAAAACTACTAGAAAAATTAACTCAATTATCTATAGAAACTAATGATAGGAGAGCAGAGAGATACACAATAAAGGAAATCCTCTAATTGGTAAAAAGTCCAGACGCTTTCCTCAGAAAATAGCCCATGTGTTTCACTTGTGAATTAAACTGATTTGAATTCCCTAAATCTTAAACCTTTCCTCATACTCTGGTTAGATGCTCATAAATGTAATTTGGTCACAAAGTAGAAACAGAGAAATAGAAATAAAATGCATATAAGCCTGTGAATTGAAAGTTGAAAAACTTTAACCCACTATTTTCATCTACTAATTTAAATACTACTTAGGTAGCAAATCACGTGGTATTTTATTCTCAACAACATATAACAAATTTTAAATGCTCCCCCAAAAAGAATACTCGCAGAAAATTTGTTCAGTAAAATATAAAACAAAGAAAAGTTATACATGATTACATAACATACACTAATTAAAATTTAAAATATAGTGAAATTTTACTATTAATCTAATTTTAAGTCTCAGATCATTTCAAACACATACCTTCTTTGTTAATTGCTTCAATCTTGGCAGGGTAATAGCGACAGTCTGTCCAACGAGCCAGAACTTCTTCTCCAGCTTTAAAATCCTATTTTAAACAACTTTTAAGATCAATTCCATGTATATTAAATAAGCACTTCCTTAACAAAAACAGGCTTTTGTAAAATTTAACAGAATCCTTTTAAAATATGTCATTAAATAGCCAGCAAAACTAGCAAACAGAAAAAAACCTGCTACTTACAAAGAAATCTTCCTCATCTTTTAGTCCTTCTTTTCTTAGTGCCGGTCTCTCAAGGGGTCGTAATCTATTGCTATCCCAGTAAATCCACTCATCATAACGATGACTCCAGCGCTCAAAATGGACCAACATCTTGCCCTCCTCATAGTCGATTTTTTCAATTCGTGATGGATACCTCAAAAATCAAAACACTTCATATCAAAAGAAAATCTTTATATTTGTTTATACAAAGTATTATAGAGAGAGCTGAAATGTTGCTTACCATCAAAACCATGAACAAGTATGTCCATATTTTAAAACTAACCAAAAAAGTCTGATTTATTGTCTTTTTAAATGATAGTCTTCAAGATCTCAATAAACTCCTTGATACACTCCCAGCACAAATATAAATGACTGCATTGTTTTGTGAAGTAATGTGGTAACACACATCAAGAACCTTAAACATATTCCTACTTTTTGACCCAACAATTCCAATTCTGGAACTGTATATAGAAAACATTATTTATAATAATAAATAAAGTGGAAACAGTCTAAATATATGGTTGGAAAAACTGAAGACTGTCTAGAGCTTTACAAACAATATTTCACTGAATGAAATGTGGTCACTGAATGTGGTGTTTACAAAGAATTTACAATATGGGGAAAATGTAAAAAAACAAGCACTATATTTAGCAGAAATATAAATATGTAAATTTTGTCTAGTAAAAAGTACATCAGCACGTACACTGTCTTTATATGACATAAGCTCAATTTATTCTTATTTTTCTGTGTTTACCAATATTTTACAAAGAGCATCAATGATGGTAAGGCAAGGCTCAGTAAAACCTTAAATTTAAAAATATTTCATTGTTCTGTCTTCACATGTGACAATTCTATAATCCCAAAACAGGAATTAGTTAACTTGAATTTTTTTTACAAGGAAAATTGCTTCATCATTTTTAATGTACTATATTAAAATGTTGACCAATGACTTAATTTTTTTTAAGTATGATTAAATAACATTCAGAACTCAATAGTAGTACATGGTAGATGATTCAGCCATAGTTTATCCCATATTCTTGCTAGCTTTTGCTAAATTCAGAATCTTTGTCTTCCCTGCAGAAAACTACCTTTAAATATAAAGTACAATGGACTTTATGTAACTTTGAAATGTTGGAACTGATTACTATATATGTTACAGCTCAGTCACACTATTCAGTTTTTTTAGACATTTCAAGGATCATTCTCTAGTAGAGCTCCTTCCTTGATATTCAACCCCACTTTGATCTAATTATATTAAGCTACTTGGATATTCCTCAAACATATGTTGCTCTGTGTCAAGCATTCGTGCTGTTCTAGATTCTTTCAGCAGAGTCCTAAACCACCCTTCCCTTCCTTTGTACACAAATCATTGCAAACTTGGTGAAACACAGAAAACTGCTTGTGTGAAGGCTTCCCTAACTCCCATGCTGCTGAGCTGTACGTTATTTCTGCACAGGTTCTCAAACTGGGTGCTGCAGAACATTTATATCTCTTGGGACACTGATATGTGTGGCACCAAAAAAAAGGGGGGGTCTTATTGTCAAAAAAGCTAGGGAATTAATGAATTTAAAAAGTTAGGTGTTCTTTATTGAAAGACTTCTTGGTGCTGCCAATGAGATGGAGATAAAGCATTCAGTGTTGCCAGATTCAAAGTAATATGCAGCCCTTTTTATCATGAAAATGTATTAATATTTCTGGAGATAGCAGACAGCTAGGGAAAATGAGGTTAGAAATGCCACCCTGGCCTGTGAGCTTCTGGAGATAACTGAGTCATGTTCACTTTTATAGTCCCCAGCACCCAGCTCTATAACAGGACACGTAACTGCTACTCAGGGAATGTTTGCAGGAGTAAAAAGCAGCTTTAAAGAAAGGCAATTTGCCCATTTCTTCAGAAATAAGAAGGCAATTGACCCAATTATAACCTTGTTAGATCTCAGTCTTTTCGGGGGAGTAAGTATAGGTGAGGGAAGACCTGTATTAAAGAAAGGCATAAAAACAAGAAAACTTAAGAGATGAACATACTTCCTGAGGTGGACATACCTGCCCCACCCACTTAGAATCAATACTATAATACTTGTCTTTTGCAGTGTTGCTCTGATTTTGTTTTTGCTGTCCTGGTTTTCAAAACATAAAAAATTGCCAATAGCATTAAGAAAAACATAGAACAAAGTTGTTCTTTATTTTTCAACATTCACTAGTCACTGAAGTACTATAAAGAGATCTTCTCTCAATTATAAAAGTTGATAAATTTCTCTCAAAACATAAAAGCCTCTAACTTCATGCACTTAATTTTTCCTACATTTACATTTTGAATTAAAAAAATCAGGAGTTTATTCTTTAGGTTCCTTCAAATTCTAAATGTATACAACTCTATATATTTGAAACATTTCTCAAAGTGAGAATAGTCCACAGTAACAAGGTTAAACACATCTTTATTTTCACAACATGTTTCAGTTCAGTAAGCATCAGCATCTAAGGGATTCTGAATAATTTAAATCTGGATTGCATTTTAAAGTGACTTATGGTTTTTCTGAAATATTTAACATTCTTCTGGCTGAGATGTCTGATGCAAAAACCAAAATGAAAATTATGTTTTGGGGATCCTTTTTAAGGTAAGTCATAGCATTCTGTACTCTCTACATAAATAACTACTAACTGATACATATACTTGAGATGAAGGCCAAGAATTAAATAAGTAACACAGATATCCATGATTATTCTCTATTTTAATTTTTATAATGTTCACTAATCAAATTTTTAATCTTAAAAGGCACAGAAATATTAACATTATAAAAAATGTCCAAATTTGTTTATTCATTAAACATTTATTTGAACATCCAGTAAGACTAAGGCACTTGCTAGGCACTGTTGGTACATAAAAATGAAACAACTCGACTGGGGGCAGTGGCTCACGCCTGTAATCCCAGCACTTTGGGTGGCTGAGGAAGGCGGATCACCTGAGTTCGGGAATTGGAAACCAGTCTGACCAACATGGAGAAACCCCTTCTTTACTAAAAATACAAAATTAGTCAGGCATGGTGGCGCATGCCTGTAATCCCTGCTACTCAGGAGGCTGAGGCAGGAGAATCACTTGAACCCAGGAGGTGGAGGTTATGGTGAGCTAAGGTCACACCACTGCACTCCAACCTGGGCAACGAGAGAGAAACTCCCCCCATCTCAACAAAAAAAAAAGAAAAAAGAAAAAAAAAGAAATAACTCCACAACTCCTATCACTGATGGGCTTAGTTTAGGGTCAGATTAGGAGAAAGAAAGAAGAGATAGAATATTTGCTATCACACATACGTCAGGCTCTGTGTTCTTTACTTATTGAGTGCTGACTGTTTTTCTGTATGTTTTCTCATTTCATCTTGGTAATCATCAAAGGTATAGAAGATATAGTATACATTTAACAGATGAAAACTTGTCCAAGAATATATACATTGCAGACAGTATTATAAACTGAGACCAAGTAGCACAGAAGTATATACTCTATGCCAAAAGGAGAAATGGGATAAGGCTTACATCTAAGTGATTATATCATGCATAGTAAAACTGGTAAGTATATACAAAAACTGGATGTAAGATGCTTTAATAGTCCATAGAAAATCTTGGAATTTACTGAAGGTTCTTGGGAGACGTTATTTATGTTGCACTTGCTAGGGGACTTCTAGAATATGGACTTCATGAGCACAAACAAAGTGTATACACAGAGCATAATTCATTTACTCGACGTTCACTTACATGACTCTGAGCTAGGCCAGCAGCCATGGAGGATTTCAAGATAAGTAGGATGTGGTTATTTGTCCTCAAAGACCTCACGTTCAGAGACTGGAGGAGTACTTAAAAAAAAAAAGAGTAATAGTCCTTCCAGCTAGACTGCATGGTAAGAAGAAAAGCAGGAAAAGGAGAATACTAAGACATGAGATGGGACTTGTTAGCTTGGTTGAAACTTGGAAGGGCGTGAAATAGCAAACTAATGAAACGATCCTTTATTCTACAGATAACAGGGAGTAACTTAAAGTTAGTACTTAATTTGGTTACCAGTTACACCTCAGAGGAAAAAAAAATTGTAACATCAAGATCTTTGCAATACATGTAAAATGCAGTAAACAGTAATTTAACATATAGCTTTGCACAGTGAAATCATTTCTAGCAGATGGCTCATGGTAATCATGTTTTGATACATACAGTGAAGGAAAAATGCTGTTGAACACAAACGTATTCACAAATTCCTCTGTATACTCAACTACAACAATATTATTTTGATGCTATTTATGTTTTATTCTAATTAACTGTGAATTGAACATATGATTTTTCTAATTGAATTTGGAAGGCGTAGTGTTAATGTTTTTGTTTTGCCATTTTTTTAAAGGTTGAATCATAGGAAGCTGTTAAATTGAAGAATAGTGATTAGGCTGAATCCCAGACATTTATGAGTAAATTAGGAAAAGATTCAAGAAGTAGAAGACTGAGGTTCCAGAGTTTAAGGAGTCAGAGATAAGATGCCAATAACAATGATTAGAGATAAATAGAAAAGAAAACCACCATAGCTGGCATCTCTCAAGGTTTCAGTAGAAAGAGATAAAGAGAAGGCAATCTCAATAAAAGTAGGATTTTCAGTGCCAAAATTCCACATAGAGCTTACTTACCCCTTATACACTTCTGCAATATATCCTAAAATTTCTGCTATGTACCTTCCCTAATTTCACTTTAAAATTCATGCATTGTTTAAACGTTTTCTACTTGTGTAGAAAATAATCGCCTCCACTGAGTCTACCTTGTTCTCTTGTATGTCCTGTATACTTGAAGCCTAGAAAAGAGTTTACCCTTAGAAAACTTAACAAGAAAAATAATCCACTCTAAAATGAATTCTTTGTTGTTCATTCACTTAATGAAAATGAAGAGCACTCCAAAAAAGAAAAGACTTTAAAATGATTCTTGCAAAATTTAACAGAATTTTCAAATATGCAATTCTACTAATCTCAACTGATTTCTTGAGACTTCTGAATTTGTGTGGGACCCTTTTGGATCAAAGTCCTCTAATGGTCAAGTCAAACTGTAGCCATCACTAGAGTAGAGCAAGGCCATCACCAAGAATAAATTTTTTTTCACCTTCTCTGAACTCCTATAGCATTTGACTGCATTATTTGATAT